ATAGGCAATATACAATTTTCTTTAGGGAACTTTATTCATACAGCTGTCAATAGAGGGCGTTTTTCTTCAATCTAGAAAAACGGTAACCTTTAAATCAAAAAGGGAGCTTATTATTTACATTTAAAGTCCTACCTGTACATCACTGGACCCCCTGTCTATAACTGGTGCATTCACCCTAATATTTGGTCACAACAACTTTAGGGCTTGTAACAATTTCAATACCCTCAAACCATATGATAATTCAAGAAAAATTATCTTGTCTTTTGCAGACTTATTTTAAAATTTTTAATATATTTGTTTACAATCAGACTACATTTAAGACAGCAACTTTCAATGTCACTCACAGATATTGGAACTAAAGGAAACCAAGAAGCATGATGTTGAACAGAAATTACTCTTTAATGAACTTTAATTTTTTTTTTCCTGTTCTCTCCCTACTCGCCTTTTAGGCTATATGTGGTTTCCCAGACCAGGGGGTGAGGGCGGGGGATTAATGCCAGAGTTAAAAACCCCACTGACACTGGGACGCAAACTCGTACTTACTTTAATCCACATAAACTTCAGTTGTCAGGTTGCTGCTCAGCCCGTTCCGCTCGGCCATCCCATCCCTCTTATTACAGGTAATAATTAAACCCTAAAACTCACATCCAGAAAGAAAGAAAAACAATTCTAACATATAATGCAATGATACATCCCCAATAACACTATTTTCATACTAATCTGGATTGTATATTTTCCATATCTTTTCAAATGTGGCATGCTGGGTAATTTTAATCATATTTTTGTTTACTTAGCATTCATTATACATAACGCTAACCTGCTGTATTCAAACTAAATTACTTCAAATACAAACATCAATGCTCTAGTCTTGAAAAATTTCAAGACCTTCATCATTATTCATTAACCAATTTAAAACATATTGGCCAATTCCAGTGGTATAACTTTGTATTCAGCTTCTTGTATACTATAAAAGTGAGGAAACATCTTTATTATCTTGTGCCTGTTCAATGTACTTTTAAGTTTGCAAGTCTTGTAATAATGTTTAAATAATACTGGTATAGTCAACCATAGTAAAAAAGTACCAATTTTAATTTCTTATAAAATTTAATCCACTGATATTCTTCAAATCTAATTAAAGTTATTATTACTTTAATCCCTAGACTATACTGAAAAAACTGGTCAACGAAATGACCTCAATTTTATCTTGCCTTCAATTTTATAAATATTCAAAATATGAAGCTATTAAAAGTAAGTTTAATACCACTGAAACAGCTTATTTGACAGTTGCTGGTGGTCATTGCAATTGTTGAACTGTTATTAGTTTTTCATTAGAAAACATCATGACCATACATCGGCAAACATCACCTCTGTGTTATATTTCTGTAAAAATCTAATAAAGAGCAGCAATAAAACAATATAAAGATAAAGATATTTGTTCTAGTTATAGAAAGTTGAAACTGGTGAAATAATCCTAGAGGAAAGAAGATTCTACAAAACGGTCGATCAATGAGGAATCTTTGCAGTAATCTGTTGGGAAAGGTTTAACAAAATGCATTCGGAAATTGTTAAGAAAGTTTAAAGTTTTTTAATGTACCATAAAGCACAGGATACATAAATTTAGAAAAGTATATCACTCAACAAGAGTAATTCCCCACACAGGCGGATTTATGGGGGGGAGGGGCTTTCGGGCTGAAGCCCCACCCTCCCCCCAAAATGGTGAAATGTAACCATGTTTTATGGTAAAAAATATTAAAAAATTATCTCTTAAAGTATCATTGTTCGTTTAATTATATTTAATAGGACTTCAAGAACCATTTAAACACCATTTCATATAGGTAGTCAGTAGCTTTCTGTTTTTCCAATGTAATTATCATTATATATAAATGAAAAAAAAACCTTCCGGGCTGAAGCCCCCCAAAATTAAATCCTGGATCCGCTAGAAAGCTCAATCTCAAATAGATATTTGTCAACATTTGAAAAAATCTAAATGACCATTATTTCATTTAAAGAATTATAACTTGCATTGAAAAGTGGATCAATTGAAGATATCTTAAACGAAGAAACAATGGTTAAACTGCAATCACCCTTCTTGCCAAATATAGAGCAAGAGCACTTTGAAAAAAAAATAAATACAATACTCTCTGTATTTTGGAAATTAGAAAGCATAAATATAATCTGACATTACTTCAAAAGATCAAACCATTGATTCAGAACTATATATTGACCATTTAAAAAAAAATTAAATAAAAAAGATAAGCCCTACAATACTCTTCTCCTTAAACAAATAAAAAAATATTAGAATTGGTTGCAATTTAGCTTTCCTGTCATCCTATTTAAAGTCTGGAATTAGCACCTTTTAAACACCACAAGTTCCATCAAATGGCTAATTATCTTCACCCTCTTCTCCCTTCCTCCCAAGAAAAAACCATCAGGGATTGGCAAAAAGAAACGTAAGACCCCTTCTCCGGCCTAGTCCTACCCACCATTAAAACTAATATAAACTAAAAGAAGCCTAAAACTAAATCTTACACTCCACTCTGGATCTATTTAAGAGTTTAGAATCCTTCAATATAATAATAATAATAATGTAATAATATAATAGAACAATTACACACCATATATATATATATATATATATATATATATATATATATATAATATATATATATATATATATATATATATATATATATATATATATATATATTTCGAATTTGTTGTGAAATTATATTTTAACCTTGTAGTACACTGATTTATCCCAGTAAATATAATTTGATATAAGGTAGTACTTTAAATACAAGTTGAAATAGCCTTTTACTTTTAGAAACATATCTGTAAAAATTTTATCTGTACATATAAAAATATACAACATACAGACTCTAAATGTTTCAGAGTATCACTAAGAAGTAAAAAATCAACAATTAATTTAACTTACTTTGAAAGTGGTTTAACATTGCACCAGTAACTGTTTTATTAATAAACTAAGTCCCAATGGTACATTAATTTTGAAATCCTCAAGAGTTTATATTGATTCTGGTCAATCTTGTAAATAAAAAAAATTCATCACAAGGTAAATTACATCTTTGATTACATTTCTCTTTGAATTATTAAAGGCTAAAAAAAAATAATAAAAAAAAAACTATTACTATTATCAGATCAAATTTTCTAAATCTAATGTAAAACATTAACAACAATATCTAAATATCATGGCAATAGGTAGCATATGCATTATTAGGTAGCATCATATTCTTGGAATATAATGCTATGATCATTTTATATGAGCAAAATTATAAAAGAAACTTTTGAACAGAGCAGCTTGAACATTGTATAAATTAAAATGTTATAAAACAATTATATTAAAAAGAAGAACGCCCATATAAATACATAACCATTAATGAAAATGGCTGTCTTTCACTCACATAGTTTATTTTCGTAGGATAGAGTATTTTTATTAAATATATAACTTCCTCAGCGCCTTATTAAAAGCAGTAATTTACAATGTTATTTCTTGCCATACATTCTTGAAAAATGAAATCAAAAAAACACCAAACAAAGTAAAATCAAAGTGAATGATGCATGACAAAAACTTCTAAACTGATTAAACAAAATTTATTAAGCCTTGTATTCTTTTAAGGCACCATTGATTTAAAGTATATAGACTCTATTTGTATGTATCACCCATTAGTATTTTCTAATCATATAACTGTATATAGAAAATATTACTCCATACATTAGTACATTTATTTATCTTCTATAGTGAAAACATATTAGCAGAAATGAAAACTTGTATAGAAAAATCTTTAAATATTATATTAAATAATAACAAGGAACATTTTTGATATCGTTGTATAATCAATAGTCATTAACATTTTAAGAATAAAAATATCTGTTAATACTATTTAAAACATGATTGACTGTTTTACATAAAATTTGATAGTCTATAAATTGTTTCCATCTTTACTACATAATTTCCAGGTAATGAACATTGAATTCATAAATTATTTCTTTAAACCATTTTTCTCCTTACTAGATAAAAAGTATAATGTAAAAATTCTTCAATTTATATCCATAATTATTCGCAAAATTCGTAGATATTATTAATGTTTAGAAATAAAAAAGATATAATACATCAATATAAATAATGCTTATCTTCTACAAACTTAATCATGTAATTAATCAAATGGAGGGAAAAGCTGTGAACTAGGAACACAGGTTTGTTAAGACAATGCCAACTTAATATGTGTGCATATGAATATACAACAGTAATGAAGTAAGGAATAAAAAAAAAACTTAAATAAAAAAAAGTATAATTAATCTATACTTTCATAAGACAAGGTGAATATGAAGTAACCCATTTTTTCCCAACATTTATCATAATATTTACATTTGTTTTAATTAAATGAAAAAAAGCTGTAAAATAATAATAATTTCTATTTGTATGGTGGTAACTTGTTCATCTTGTCATCCTTCAAATAATAATAATATTATTATTATATAATAATAATAATAATAATATTATATAAAGAATATTTGCCCGTTCTTCTATTTAATATAATTGTTTTATAACATTTTAATTTATACAATGTTCAAGCTGCTCTGTTCAAAAGTTTCTTTTATAATTTTGCTCATATAAAATGATCATAGCATTATAATATTCTATATAATATTAGCCCGAAAATAACTTAATGCATTTTAAATAAATTTGAGTACTCAATTTTGTTGACGTTTTGGTTTTTTGTAGACATTGCCTGAGACATTAACTTATCCAAGAAGAAATTTGTATATATAGAAGTAAACAAAACTGCCAATTCGAAACTAAACATATTTATAACATGTCCTCGATACATTTAATTAAAAATTATTATTAGATAAATTAAAATTACCCAGGGACATTAATTTACATGGCTTATTTAAATTAAAAAACAAAACCACTGTGGAAGTTGAATTTGGCGGGGGTAGGATTATTTGCTGATTCGCATGTGCCACTAGCTGACGTCTGATCACTGTTTAGTTGTTTTGTAGTCCTCGTATTTGGATGCCATTTACGTTCAGGTCAGTGTTTAATGCAAAGAGCTAGTCATTTACCTACTACAATCGAAAATGGAACCAACGACTACTGAAATTCAGGAATTAAGGACGAAGTTCACACAGAAGGTATCAGAAGAGAATAAAGGTAAATGACATTTTTGCCAATTATAAGAGGGGCAATTTGATTGTTACTTTTTTTTATTATTGCTTTTATCAGAACACTTTATAAACTATTTGGCTGAAAATGAATGAAATATAATTAAAAGTTCTTGTCCTTATTTATAGTTTTTTTTTTTATCTTCATTTTATTTATTAAATTGATTTTTTTATTTTCAGACTTCCACCCTAAAGACATTGCTAGAGTTAACAATGATGACAAATGGCTAAAACGGTTTCTGCTTCACAATGACTTAGACATAAAAGAAGCATTAATTATGCTTCTAGAAACTTGTGAATGGAGGAAAAACTGTAAAGTTAATGGTAGTTGTTTTATGTAGTTCTAACGACTTTGCTCAGTATCTAACTTAAAGTTTGTTGTTAATTATTCCTATGGTTTTAAACATACTTCTATCGATCAGGTAGCCTTAATATACATGATTTGCTTGTATTAGCATCCACTATGATATTTTATAAAGATTAACTGAATTTTGTAAGTGTTTGGATATTTATATTATATCTATTTGAAGAATAAATTTAAGTAATTACGATGTTAACCCAAGAAATTGATAGTTATTGATTTAGTGTCTTTGCCACTTATCTTTTCAATGCCAACTTTCTGGAGATTCATTGGTTTATAAAGCTTAGTTCAAATAAATTTTATTTTAAATGGAAAATTTTTACTAAACACTACTTTATCTATTTTCTAATTTTTATTCATTATGTTGTTTTTTATAATTATACTTTTTTATTTTGTTAGTTTTTGTTTTGTTATGCTCATGACAAAGGTCATTATCAAATACTTTTTAATTTGTACAAGCGTACTTTTAAATTTCTTGAAACTGAATCTTGAACTTTGTTTTCAGTGTAGATACAATAAATTGATGTATTATTATGCAATCATCCTTCAGTTGTCATATAAATGATAATAATATTGAAGGATGTTATTTAATTTTTTCAATGATTTTCTAATTTTTAATGGGAATGTATACCCTTGGTCTTTATAATGCTGTTCTATTCTTATTATTATAATTTAGCAGTTTGATTTATCTTCTTCACAATTTTATTAATCACAAATTATTATAATTCAGTCAATTGTTATTGTTATAAATAATAAAGTAAATTGATATTAACTTTTTTTTCTCTCTCCGAAACTTACAGAAATTACAGAAAACAATGTAAACCTGTGTTATTTAAGTGAAGGAATAGTATTTGTCCACAATCGAGACAAAGATGGAAAGTCCTTATTAATCTTTACTTATCGAAAGCATGTTAAAGGTCAGAAAGACCTGGAGGAATTAAAAAAGCTTGTTATTTATTGGATGGAAAGAGTAGAAAGGTATTTCTTGTTATATTACTTGGTTATCCTTTTAATATTTCATTACTTATGTTTTATTTATTTATAGGATGGATAAAGGAGAACCTGTCACAGTTTTCTTTGATATGCAAGACAGCGGAATAGCAAATGCCGACATGGATTTTATGAAATTTATTATTAGTTTATTTAAACAATATTATCCTTATTTTTTAAATTATATCCTGGTCTTTGATATGCCATGGATGCTTAGTGGTAAAGTTAAACCTAATTTTTTACTATTTTTAATTGCCTGTCAGAAACATGAGTATTAGTAAAGTTATGTTCTACCTTTCAAATAGGATTTAATGCTAACATTTAACCAACTTAATTGGCTCTGTATTAATTAGTCATAGTTTTTCTTTCTATAGCAGTTATGCTGTGCAGCATTTAAATTGTTTAGAAATGTAGATTACATTCTCGCTTGTTTTCTTATTACATTTGTAGTTTAATTTTTATAATTTATTTATATCTTTTTCTAATGATTCTAATTCAATGAAAAAGATTTGGGTACGATTAATTTTTTATTGTTATTTTTTTAACCAACAATCATTGCTTTGTTCTTAGCAAATCTTAAAAAAAAAACAATGATTTTTGTAACTATCCTTATTATACTTTTATGAAAAAAAGTTCTGATTATTTTATTGATTGGCTATATTGTGCTATTTTCTTATAGCATTCTTGTGGGTTTAAATAAATTTCTGTTTTCTGCTTTGAAGACAGGTTTTTCATTTTAATTGATAGAAACAATTTTTTTTTTTTTTTTTCTTTTTCCAACTGACCTTTCTAACCACATCCTTTTCAAATTTAAAAAAAAAAAAAAAAGGTAAGAAAAACTTAAATATCCTTGGAATAATAATAGGTTCTAGTTGTAAACATTTCTCTGATCGGATTATGAATCTAAAAGAAAACAAAATATAGTTTTTTTCTTTCGAATATATTAAACTGATCAAAAACATTTTGCAACTTATTTTAATAATAACAAATAATCATTAAATCATCAAATCATTAAATAAATTAATGTCACATTTATCTACTCATGTACAAAATAAAATTATATATAAGTTTGTTTAAAGTGTTATGCCATAGATTAATTTAATGTTGGGATTGAATTGTAAAATATTGATAATTGTCTCATTTCTTTTTTTCCAGCTGCTTTTAAAGTAGTAAAAACATGGCTTCCTAATAAAGCTGTGCAAAAAATAAAAAATATTGACAAAAAAAGTTTGAAGGATTATGTAGATAGTACCCAAGCTCTTAAAAGTTGGGGAGGACAGGACCCATATGAGTTTGTATTTGTCCCTGAAAATGCTAAAAAGGTAACAGTTTGATATGCAATGATTATGGATTTGATTATATTACTTTAACATGTTAATATTTTAGAGTAAAATTTAGTTAAAGTGAATGTGTATAACAATTTGTGATTTGTCTATTTAATGGGAGAATATATTTTTAAATTAAAGTGTAAATCTATGCATTTAGTTTGAATGACATACTTAAACGTAATATAATTATGATTATTTAATTTTTAACTTGAGAATAATAATTTTATGTTTTCCGTATAAAATATGAAAATTAAAGTTATAGTAATATCTTTATTTTTTTTTTCATCATCTGTTATTATTTGGCTATGTTTTTTATTAAAAGTGACATTTGATCTGCAGGGTCCAACTATAATGAATTTGCAAATTGATGTTAAGTTTGAAAAAAAAAAAAATTGTTTTCACCGCTAATATAAAGTGGCACTTCCGGTTAGCTGATTTTAAAGAAAAAGTTGCTGCCACATCGGAACTATATAAAAACTTTTAATACACAATTTAGGTTTTGTACGACTTTTCGTTTTTGAGCTAAGCTGTTCATATACACTCAGACCATTTTGCGATACGTGGTTATTTGGACTGAAGGGACCTCAAAAAGTGTATTTCCGTTGAAAACTCATATTCAAATATAATTTTCACAATCATAATACTTTCTTTTACTATGTATTACATATATAGGTAAGCGAAAGCAAAAATAAGAATCAGTTCTGTATATTAGTGGTTCAAATGTTTAACATAGGTCACCTGAGTCTAAATAACCAAGTAAATAATAATAGTAAATAATAATCCCGCTAAATGGTCTGTGTGAGTGTGTGTGTGCATGGGTGTGTGCTTGTGCGTGCATGGGTGTGTGTGCGTGTGCGTGTATGTGATCAGTCTAGCTCAAAAACAAAAAGTTGGATGAAACTGATATTACTTATCTTAAGATAGGTATTGTGTGGATGTGACTGCAATTTTTTTGTTAAAATCTACTTACTGGAAGTGGCACTATATCAACGTTTATACACATTTTTAATATTTTTACAATATTACATAACTGTCATAACTGTTTTTCCAACAATTTTGGGGAGATTTTTGCATGTGAAGAATAGACGAAGTTATGGCATACCGACAAAAAAACACCTTTTAGAATTAATATATAGAGATAATTAAAACATGTGTTTATTGTTCATATTATAAAAATTTTAGAACTCTTGATTTATGTAAAACATGTGTTATAATTATCATTGATCAATATAACTCTACATAATATTAGTTTCTTGCAATCATATATGATATGATGGGAGAAGATGATAAAGCTTTACATTTTGTAAAACGCAATGTAGGTGGGAAAATGATTTTTCCAACAATTTATATTATAAAGTATAATTATAATAAGTATTTATTGTAATTATATAGTGATAAACTTCCAAACTAGCTTAATCGAATTTCATAGACCATAATAAGCAATGAAAACCTCAACTCTATCAGTCCATTAAGAACAGGAAATAATAATCCTGTATTTCTATGTACAAAAAAAGATTTGGAAGTCCATATATATATCTCAAACCTATTAATAATAGAGACCTGTATAGTAAAAACTATAGGAATTTATCCATTTACTTCTTGACAAATTCAAGAAAATAGAATTACAAGTTTTTTTACTGGATATTAACTATACCCTACTTCACCAATGTATCTCCATGTGCTTCATCTCCTTTTTAAATTGGATCGAGACATTTATGATCTATATGATTTTGATACGTGGTTTAGTTTTAGTTTTTAGTTGAGGACTAGTGAAAAATAAAATAAAAGCATTTTGTGAAAAAGTGAAACAAGATAGTTTTAAAACTAATCACCTCTTATAAGTGTAAGTATATATGTTAGTGTGTCTATTATTTACTTACTTTCTGGGTCTACAGTTCTTTGTGACCCTTGGCCTTCTGCATTATATCCCTCCATCTATCATGGTCCTTGGCAGCACTCCTCCAATTTACGATACCCAACATTAAAGCATCTCTTGCTACCTCATCCTTCCTGCGGCTCCTCGGGCTGCTTCTTTTTCTGTTTTTTCAATTATTGGCATGTCCAGAATAGTATATCTATTAGCCAGAAAATTGAGGAACATATTAGTTAAAGTCAAAATTTCGCAGTAAATTTTGCAAATGACTTCTTCATTAGTTCGAAACTATTTACCAGTCCAGTAGGTAAGATGTTTTTATTTTTATGTCTTATTTTTGTTGGTATGGTCAACTTTTGATGAAGATCTATTAAATATTTCTGATAATTTACATTTAGGCAAAACATTGTTTCAGACTGGCCAATAAAAATATCTTTATTGCGTTGATGACATCAGGCTGATTAAGCTGATGATTAAGAAAGATTTTATAATTGGATAACTTGAGAAGGATATGGTCTGAGATTAGAAAAACATCAAGTAATTGCTAATTGCTGATATTGCCACCCACATTGTAGGCTTTATAAGGAGGAAATATCTACAGGGCCCAAACAGAGCAGAATATTTGCAGCTACTCCTCACTAATGAAGACCTACTGTGTGGGTCGAAACATTGGTATAAAATAAATAATTATATAGCAATTACCTGATGTTTTTCTGGCTGATTTATGGGTTTCTTCTTGTACCAAAAAACCTATTCTAATCAGAGAATAGAAATGGATAAGATTCATTCCTTGAGTTGTCTGCCATGAAATAAATTTCAATTATCCCAGACCGAATTCAGACTCCAAAAATTTAAAAAGGAAAATGCTCATTTGCCTATTTATGAAATATTTATCAGGACCTTGAATAAATTTTCACTGTTTTTTTTTTTAATTAATGCTTCGTTATTTAAGGTGTATTAAAAAAAGAACATGTAATTCAAAGGATTGTCCATCGCTTACCACAACTTTCTCCCATCTTTCTGGTATTATATGAATTTCATCTAGGAAAAATGATTCATCTTTTAAGGTTATCCCTGAATCTAATAGTTTTGTTTGGTTTGATTAGCTCATAATAGATTACACTGTGCTGATCCCACTAAATGCAGAAATGCTTCGACCCATGGATATCTAGTTTTACGGATAATGTTGAGGCATTACCTAGCATTATCGTACTGTATCCATTTTTCATTGCCAGCCATAATAAGATGTGGTGTCCTTGTTTCTGAATCACAGTGCTTTAAAAAGTTTTGAAAATTGCTGTCTTCTACTAATAGTGATTTTCCAACGTCAGCTAGAGTCTCACTTGGGTTTTCAATAAATAATATCTTCAATTATTTTTCTTTAGTGTACCAGAGTGTTTTTTATCTCAAGATTAAAATCATTATTTTTGAAATTTCGAAACAAGGCCCTGAATGTTGTTTTTGGCAGAGAATGCTCTTCAAAAGTTTGAACAACTCTTTGTGCTTCAGCTTTAGATTTCTTTTGAATAAAATAGTGCTGTAAAATTCCCCACAAAATTCAACAGTTTTAAAACTATAGAATAATCATTGTTTACACAAGGTCCTATAGTAAAGGAAAGTATAGCAATAATGAAAAATTTCAAATCTGAATTTTCTACAGAAATAAGTCTTCCATAATTGTGTCTGAGTAAAAGCTTGATTTAACTTGAAAAAAAAAAGTTGTTGGAAACTTATTTTACGTGTTCCTGGTAGATATATTATACTAGCGATGCTACAACAAAATTTTCATCAAAATTAACTTACTGGGAAGTGGCAAACTTTAAAAACAACTTGACAAATCATTTCAAACAACTAACAAATCATTTTGATTAAACTTTTATCAATTTAAAATTATTTATTAATTTGTACATGTATTAATTTTTTGCTTTACTTAATCATTTTGATAAGTAATTTATATTTTTAATCAATAGGTTCATTTTGCTGATGGATCTCAATCAACAGAACCTTCATCCAATGCTTTTGGTGATTCTAAACCTGATGAATCTCCATCAAGTAAGCTTTCTTTGAGTTAATTGCATGACAAAATAAAATAAGTAGTTCCATTTTTTAATCTTTTTTTTTCTTTGGTTAATCTCTTAAGGCGCCAGATTAACTTTGAATCCAGCTGATGCTATATGCTTTGTTCAAGATGGAATAGAACTTATAGGAACATTGAGCATAACAAACTCTTCCGATGCAACTTTGATTTATAAGGTAATATAAAGGAAAAATAAATTAGATTGTATAAAAAGTTTAAAATTAGCTTTGTGATGGTTGAAATTACTTATAAAGTTGTGAGACCTAAGAATGAGTGAATTTCTTAAAACATTAGTTAATAAGAAGAAAGTAAATTTTATTCCAGGATTTCTAATCCCCTAAGAATAACAAACATGTTCAATGATAATTACATTATAATATAGATTTGTCTGGCACATAATGGCTGACATATAATAATTAGATTACTAAGTATTGACTACCATAGAAATTTAAATAAAGCACAACTTCTTAATAATATACATATAATTTGCTGAAATTATAGATGAATTGATATTTGTGTGTTAACATATTTGCACAGTAAACAATATAAATAATTTTGAATTAACATTAGAATCATATTGGTGACATATTTAATTCTTATAACTATTCGGAAAACTGATGGCTGAGAATATGGAGAAACAATTGGTTTTTAAATGAAGTCAATGATGAGGTTTTGCATATGGTGGTAGGTAAGGAATTCCAAGACAAGATAGCATACATTATAAAGATTTTTTCAAAATAAAGTGTTTTGAGAGAAGGATACATGTTTGTGGGCTGGGATCTCGTGTTGAAAGAATGGACTGAGGAACAAGAAGTGAACAAGTCAAGAAGGTATGAAGGTTTTCTGGTTGTAAAGATTCGGAAAAGGACTACAGCAATTGAGAAACTAGATATAGTCACTTCAACTCGGCATACTGACTGGAGACATGTGAGTGCCTAGGGACTCCATAGATGAATATAATGAAACAATTCCTTAACCTTTTCAGTCTAATCTCAAGTCCACTAGACATTCCACTGTATACAAGACTTATATAATAATTAGTACAGATCTGGCGGGTAAATGTTCACAGATTATACTAAAACAAAGATAGGGAATGGGGAGATAGCAGTCTTAATCATGCGTTACCGGGTAACCTGATAAACTGAAGATTATGAGTTTCAGTCCTGGTGCCGAGGACTTTTAACTCTGGCTTTAATCTGTCACCTGGCCCAGGAAAAAAGTCTGCACAACCGAAATGGAGGGGGGGTTAATGAGGATGGTTAAATGTTTTATTATTATTCTTAATATAAAAGTTCATTATTAATTGATTTTTAAAGAATATTCCAATAATTGAAGGTTATATTTCAGTTTTGAAAACTATTTAGATTGCACATTTTCTCCCCAATTTATGTGATATGAACTGAACAGGTTATATATTATCAATGAAACAAATAAATTATAAATAGTTATATAACAATTATGTATGTATTTATCTTTGCGAATAGCTAATTAGCTTTTTTATAATGTATGTTTATTATAGGTGAAAACAACATCTCCAGAAAAATTTCGTGTACGCCCGAGTTGTGGCCTACTGTCTCCTTTAAGTAGTGCTTCAATCAATATTGTCTTGTTAACTGGTTATACGGGTGTCAACATCCTTAGGGATAAATTTCTAGTCTTGTCCTATCCTTTAGAGGACCATGAAACTCATGCTAATTTAGACCTTAATGATATTTGGAAGGTAAGTATTCAATTCTAATTCTAAGATTATTATATCTCATGTTCTATATAATTTTTTTAAATTAGCGTTTCCATCTTTTTTTAAATTTTGTTTTATTTGAAGATACAGTACCGTTCAAAAGTTTAGACTCGCTTGTATTTAATTCACAATCATCAAGATTAATAAAGATAACATATCAAACATAAACATCAACTAACATACATCCAAATAATTCTCTTTCAACTTTCAACAGTTTACTATTCCTTCAGAATGTCTTTATTTTGCGATAGATAAGATGAATTAATTATAATAATAATGTGACTATTTAAAGAAAATATTTAATGTGCCTATTTAAAGAGAAGCCTAACTCGCTAAGTATATATTCTATGGTAAAATTTGTAATAAAACTTTTGAAAGATAATTAAATTACCAACAAAACAAAATAAAAACATCATCGCAATCGAACCGGTATTAGCGATGATACAGCTTATTCTAGTTTCTACACATGTTTTAATTTATTACTTTCCTACCTATACTAGGTAAGATAAGTATTGCCATTGGGAAGTATTGTGAAGTTCCAAACAAAACTATTCAAAAATCGTTCATTTCGGACAATTATTAACGAAGTTATTGCTATTCAATTTTCATTGTAAGATTACGATTTCATATCCTGGTTTCATTGAATGAGAGAAAAAAGATAACTAAGTGAAAATAAGAAAATCTGTTGCCCGCATCACACTTCTTCTTTTGCATCACCCTGTAGTGCCTGTCAGCGTAGGGGAGGGTCTAACCAGGATTGCCAATTTTCCCTGATTCTTGCAAGATTTCTGACTTGGCGTATATTTTTATTTCTATTTTTGCACAGGCGGTCTATGTATTCGAGGTACGACATTCTCAGTCTGACGCGGGACTGGCGGTGTCTTCTGCCATTGGGGACGTAGTCCATAGACTTTAATGGATCTCTGTGTTCTTCCATCCTGATGACATGCCCAAACCACTTAAGCTGCCCCGCATCACACAAGTTTCACTATTTCCGCTACTTTTAACAGAAATTATTGTTTGACAAAATTAGGCTATGGCAAAAAGGTTTTGATCAGCAATATTAGTGGATGTTTAAATTTTTACACTGATCTATCTTAAGCCGGTTTACATTGCTTCAGCTTATCAACCAAATCGTACTAAAATCTTTTCTTTAATCAATTTTCAGGAAAATAAATCTAATTCAATTTTTTTTTTGTTTCTTGATCGACATATGTACAGACATGCTTTTCTGAAATAGATAGGAAAGTCGTGTGAGTGGACACACCACATTTTTTTCCATGCAACTCCCCAATTCCTGAGGGGATAAACAGTCTAATATGTACTTATAAGAGTGATAATAATTAAGTAAAGTATCATAGACCTGATAAAAATATTAATTTCTGGGATATTTTTCTGATTATAACAACTGTTTTTGTTCCTGCCACTTATTCTGCTTTGTTTACTCTTTATTGACAGTATTCTTATCTATGCCTAGAACTGGATTTGTTATTTTTAACTCACATAAAAAATCCTGAAGTTGGTAAGAATAAGCTCTGAAATACTAATTGATTTTCCATCCAAAAAAAAAAAAAAAAAAAATGATTTTTACCTACATCTTTTTCGCCTTGATAAACTGTTACCTACAAAATCTGTTTTATTATTCACTTGGTTTTTTTAGGTATGGTATTCATTTAATTATTAGAGATAACTAAATGATTCTTAGATATGTCTTTTGTAAAGAGTTTAACAATTTCCAAGTTATGATATCCTTTGAATTCATAGTTCACTATTTTTGTATCTCTGGGTGATAAAAAGTAAATTAGCCGCTCCTAGCAGTTAACTTCCAATTCAACGGTCAACATTGGAATAGTAGCTTGTCAGTTAACTGTCCTAAAGTGTTTGTTTTGTTTTTTCAGTTTATGATGCTCTTCTTTTAATACTTTTAAACATTTATATGTTATAATTATTATTTTATTTTTATAACTTTCAGTTACACTCAGACCCAAAAAAACTTGAAGAACACAGACTCAGATGCAAGGTGCCATCAATACAACCATGTGCTCATAATGGTTCTCCAGGTTCTTTAAGTACAATGGCTGGAGCAACTTCTCCTACATCTGACTTTGAGCAAAGAATCACTCAACTTCTTATTTCGGTAAATATTGAACATTTACTTTTACATAGTATCAAGCGATACATGGTGGACCAGACCCTTCTACCATTCCCCCACATTCCTATAAATTGCATATCATGTTCCTTTTAACTATTTATTGGAAAAAAAAAAAAAAAAATGTTCTCACAAAGAAAAGTGAACCAGCTGCCCCAAAATGGTGTCCAAACATGGCGGAACTTTGACTTTAGTTTTTAGTTTTTTGGTCACTGAGAATCAACATTTAGAGCTTAATTTCGTCATAGTTGGTGTTTTATTATAGCTGGATAGTCGGAGAATAATAATAAAACATGAAAAAATATTTAAAAATAATTGGCTCAGGCAATAAAAAACACCAGTAAAGTCAATTTTTTCAACAAAAAGATTTTCAAGTTGAAAATCAAATGTCGTTTGTAATTAAACAGCCAACAATAATGCAAAACGTGCTAAAATAAAATATCTGGAGAATATATTTCTATTTCTAAACCACTGATCATTGTTTTCGTTTCCGAGATTTTAACACTTCCTTTCTCGTTCGCTTAATGTATTTTTCCAATTTTTGTGTTCAATTTCGTGTTCTCTTATTTTGAGACCAAATACTAACAATCAGTTCCAGTTACCTAGAAGAACTTATAGCTTCACCCTTTCCATATATTTTCGTGCAGAGAGAATAATTCATTCAGTATTAAAATTTCCTATTTCTTTTTACGATATGGTTCAACTTCCGAACAAAATAAAGGAAATAAATTTTTTATAATTTCTTTAATTCAAAAACTCATAATTTTTTTATTAGTGGTATATGAGTTTTACTAAACAATCCATCAAATATTCGTTATATGTTTATAGTTCAGATTAGTTATGTATTATTTTAGTTTATAAAACATGTACTAATATGACTCATTTTCGTTTAATTACAAACGCTTGATTGTAATTAAGCCGAGACAAAGGACCCAAAAAGGTCTAAGGTCAAGGGAGGTCTGACCCCACAGACTACAAATTTGTCATATAAGATAAGAGTTGAACTGTTGTTTTTAATTCGGTTCATATATTAATCATTTACAATTTATAAGTTGATTTTAGTTACATTTAACTTTAAATACCTTAATTCTTATCATTTTTATTGTATTTTCATTGTTTGAATCAATGTTTACAGAAATATATTCCTGATTATTTTTGACTTGACTTTGTGCAATTACACAGTGAAAATAATTTTGAATAATTGAATTTTAATAATATTGTGTATTATTACTATATATATATTGTATTATTATTAATATTTTTATTCACGAGAGCTCTGCAAGGATTAGGTATGATTCTCAATCTCTTCAGTCACACTTGTTTATGGAATGCCGAAAACGGTGGAATAGTGATCTGTTATGACATTAGCTTTTGTTTCCATCATGGAACTTCCTCTTGTTCTGCAGTAGTCCCTACTGTACTTTCTATTTGTACTTTTTTTTTAAAAACTTGCTTAGTACACTATTGAACTTCCTAAGTCTCACTTCCTTACAGCCAAGTTGTGTCTGCTACATGGTACTACACTTGATTTTGTCATGTCCGTCCGTTCTTTATACTACATGTTTTAACCTATAGGGATCCATTTTTCTAAACTATTATAACTTTAATTTTATGTCCACCAAATTTTCAATTTTATTCAAATGACTCATTTAATTAAAAATGAAAGTAAAAATGTTTGAAAGTAAAAACCATCCCTAATCTCTTATTATTATTATTATTATCTCGGTGCAAAATCTGTTGCCGAGTCTGGGTCTCCAGTTGCACACTTCAAGGATGTTCTGAGTGTCAGCTGCAATAAATAAATTTGGTGACGTGCTAAAGTTGGTAGTCTCCAAATGTCGCCGTCTCATTGCGTCCAGGCGTCTCTTCGCTCACTATGTACTTGGTTTTCTCATGATTCATCTCGAGTTTCCTTGCAGGGCCTACAAGTGCTAGAAAAGCTTCCCTGATAGTACCCAATGATGTCGACATCGTCTCCTTAAGCCAGTATTTGTGTACTTCAGTCACCATACATATGAGCTTCTGAGGGATATGAAGTTCCTCCATCGCTAGATAGAGCTCATTACGATTAATACTGTCATATGCGGCATTAAAATTGATAAAGAGATGGTGTGTCTTCTGCTTAAATTCGTGTCCTCTCTCCAATATGGTTCTGAGGCTAAATATCTAGTCAACAGTCGATTTTCCACATTTGAGAGGACTTTGTATCTGGAAGTCAGTAAGGATATGCCTCTGTACATGCTAGGTGATTACCCTTCTTATGAATTGGACAGATCATCGATTTTCTCCATGCTGAAGGCATTACTTCATCCTCCTACACAGACATAAAAAGGTTTTGAAATGCCTTCACTAGTTCGTTGCCTCCCTATCATAAAAGCTCGGAAGGAAGTCCATCACACATCTTCTCCATTCTGCTAGGACTTCCGACCTATCAGTAAGAATATCGCCTTCTTTATACAGGCAAAAGGTTTGGGTCCCAGTTAAAGGATTTCAGAGCTTATTATCCTGCAGAAGAACTCTCTTATCTCTTTGCTTCCATACAAGGCCTCAACTTTCTGCAACTCTTCACGCTCTTTCTACCTCTTCCCTCGTCGAAGTCTCCTGTACTCCTCGACATTACCTCTCATCGCCCTCTGCTTCATAGCATGATATGCCACATTCTTTTGATGAGTTGCATTTGTGCATTCGTCATCAAACCACAGGGAACGGGTTTCCTTCTAGGCTGGTCTGAGTATTGCATCAGCCGTTTCTTCTAAGGCTTTGAAGCAGGCCTGCTACTTATCTCCTACCGATCCTCGTTCATGATGTGTTGATTGTAATACCTTGTCAAGCCCGACTGTATAGTGGGGAGCTTCTGCAAGTTGAACCGCTTATCCTTTCTACTCCTAAAGTCCAGTCTGGACGTAGAGATCCTGGTTGTAAGGTATGCTATTGAGAGGTAGTGGTCAGAGTCAACATTAACTTCTCGGAATATTCTTGCATCGAGTAGATTGGACTTATGTCCCCTCCCTATCATGTGATCGATTTGATTAACAACCGAGATATCCTTTGTACCTTTGTGGATGTCCTTGTGAGGGAATAGAGTGCTACTCACAACAAGATCTCTGGATACTAGGCTAGACTAAGCATATTAGGATTTTTAGAAACAAGTTTTGCTATAGTTTTGATTTTCTCACCGTTTATGTTTTTTGGGTTACTGAACACGAATTTGAACTTTGCTGGCAAAAATATTGCCCGGAACTTTGTGGGAAATTTTTTTTATCAACTTTTGCCACTTTTTTAAGTTTTCGACCTATATAGATTATGAAACGCGAAGTGATTCTCAATCACTGTGCTGTGGTATTTTTGTGTGCCACAGAATTCTCGAATTGTGCCCCCAAATTTCGGAAATGTATACTGAAGAAAAAAAAATCAATTTCAATTTATTAACAATATTCTTATTCTTTTCTTGTAATTAATCCCTTAAAACATACTGTTATTTTTGTATCACATATTATTTTATTTTACATTCTAAACTACTTTACACAGTGTATTATAGGTAAGTAAACAATTTTTAAACTAATCTTTTTTCTTTGAGTGCCGCCAAATTTTGAAATTATTTAAATGTACTCCAACAAAAAAAAGGTTGACAATCACTGGACCAGCCGTTTTGACTTTATTAATGCCTTTAGTCCTGAACCTGATAAACTAAATTATAAAATTGATATTAAAAATTGTGAATTGCATAGTCTTCTTTTTCTAAAATAAATATTACTGCCTATTGTTTATTAATTAAATATTAATTAATTTTTCAGATGAATCATTTGACTGAATGCAACAGCTCAATGCAGCACGACTTAATATTTGTAAGACGTTTGTTGTTCATAGTGATATTCCTTGTCATAATCTGTCTAATAGCATTATTGCTGTTTCTTCCTTTGCCTGAGCAAGGATACTGTCCAGCAACAATTGCTGAACCATCCCTTAAACTTGAAATGTAATTTGATTGCATCGAGTGTTTGTATTTTTATATGTAATTGTACAAATCATGACCTGCATATTTTAAAGCACAAAACAAGACTTGCTAAAATGGGCAATCCGGTTACCATGCATGGCAAAAATTATTTAAAAAATAATTTGGTCCTCATGTATGTTATAGTTAATCACCTATTGTTCATTAATCACTGTAGATTTTTTCCTATTTTCAAATTTAGTGTATTTGTATTGTGAAATCCTGCCAGTTTTACATTGTAATAAGTGATTCGTAGATAGAATGGTCCATATTTAAGAGATTTTTTAAAAATTGATGTAATTTATTATCAAGTCTGTTGCCATATAAGTTACTGATTTAATATTAAATTATAAATTATATTTTTTCATATTATTATTTTTTAAATTATAGGTAAAATATGAAGGTAGACAAACTATAATTTTATTTCTTTAAAATATTTATACTTTTTTGTGATTGGTATACATTCCAACAAATGTATCTATATATTGCCATATAAGTTCAAATTCCTACTAGTATTTAATTTAAAATTTGTAATATTAACTGTATCTATTTTAAGTTAAAAAGTTACTGTGCCTCACAAAAATTTTTATTCTGTATTAAAACATTTAAATGAAAATGTTCACTAGTCATGTCATGATATATTATAGTCAAGTTCTTACCTATACTGTTTTTTATATATTGTTATTATTTAAAGTTTTATTTGCTATTATATCATCAAGATAAAGATACATGACATCATAAAGTTACATATAATTAAATAAAATATTTTCAGAGTGTAATTTTTTATTTATGTGATTTATTTAGGACACACACACACTCTCTAAGCTATGTAATATACTATTCAATGAGCAGACACTTCAGTAAAATATTGAAGTATTCAATTGGATTGAATTTGTATTAACAATCATTTGTAGGGGAAATTTTTCTTCTTTGTAAAGGAAATGTTTCCATGCAGTATTAATTAATATCATATTGTATTATTTTTTTGAACCTATGTTAACATTTTTATAAAAATGTGTGACATTGTCGCAAAAAGAAGTATATATAAATGTAATATCATTTTTATATGTGTTAGTGGTCTAAAGTATTTCATGGTGTTCAGTAATCTTAAAAGAGAGAGAAACAATAAGGAGGGATTTTTTTTTAAATATATATTTATAAGTGAATACAAACATATATCTTCAAATTCTATAAAAAAAAAAATTATTATTTTTTTTCAGCAAATAGTTATACTTTGTATCTGGTTATGTTTTGAAAACTTTTTTCTCCATTATTTTAACTATGAATATTGGTATATATATTCATATCTTATCTGAAAATGCTTTTACAGTAGTAGATACAAATTTTGTTGGAAATGTTCTGTTATAATAATCTGTGATGTACTAGTCTAATAGCTATGAAATTCTTTCTAAAGGCTGATTTGAATAGTTAAAATATTTCCTATATGTTAGTAGTAAATATCGTTTATTGATAAAAGAATCTAAGTACATACTGGTATACAAAGAAGAGTAATTCTTGTTGTGAAGTGCAAACAATCTGTCATTGATACAAATTTGTTTAATATGCTCTGTTGTATGTCTACTAGTCATGTTTTAGAAGAACTATTTATGTCTTACTCCTTAATTTGCTAACATGTCAATTAGCAGTATAATAAAGCACAAAATATTTTTTTTTTAAATATTTCCAGTCTTATAGAAATACTTACTTTAAAAGATGAAGTGCCGTTGGTACCACGGTTAAGGTAGATACAATAATGAACCAAAACTAATTAGGTATCCACAAACTCACTTAATTGGCTCAATTTAATTTGATTTGTTTTAATATGTATTTTTTTTTAAATATATCTGCAGAGGAAAATTTGCATATACATATATACAAATCATACATAATAGGTTTTATAGTTAACAACAATAGATTATTTTTAAAATAAATCAATTTTTGCTAATTACAAGGCTACTTATATATACTATCTGCCATAACTTATTAACATCATTAATAAAATTCTCCATTTGATCATGGATTCCTAAAAGCTTAAAAGATAATTTGATCTGTCGGATATATGTGACATTTTTTCTTACATCGTTGAACCTTCTTCCACTCATGTTCATTGCACACTCATTTTTTACTTATGTATTTCTGATAAGATTTGAAATTTTTACAATTTATTTACTAGTTGTATTAATTGTTTATTTACATCTTGAGTAGGATCTTGAAAATTTGGAGGAATTTTCGATAGTGGATATCTATCATTTGGTTTGAATTATCTAATACATAAATTTTAACTTATTTATTATATTGGTATTATTATATACTATTTAGTGAATGCTGGTGAAGTATTTCTGCTCCTGTTCCACTTCTTTTATTTTTATGAGTACGAGATACAAATTTCTCATATACTACCTACCCATTACATTATCTGTTATTTTTTAACTACATAAATAATTAAATTTTGAAATTAAGTTCACCAACTTAAGTTAAATTTGTCTTACAGACTAAAAATCCAGATTATTGGGATCCTACTGTATCTGAAAATTCTTATAGTTACAATTGAACTTTTTTAAATTTTCATTTCAGCAACAGATGGTTTATTCGGTTGCTTTAGCTTTAAATTGATCAAAGTAAACCATCACTCTTGGTTTGTAATGCTTATCTATCATTACATTAAGTTATGAAATATTTGTAAAATGACATTTTGTTTTAATAATTACAAACTCTAAATAAAAGACTGAATATGTTATATTAGAATTAAATTTATAGCAGTACTATGCTGAAATAAGTATTTTTATTTTATTTTGTTTGTCATAGATATTTAATCAATTTGATTAAGTTTGATGTGTGATTTAAACTTGTGAATTAAATGGATATATATGTCAAATTGATAACTTTTTTTTTTTTTATGGTATTCATTTATTTATTATATTATAACGACTTTCTATCGTTTTATGTCTGTGTATAATGTATTGCGTGATTTTCATTTGTGAAAAATAAATTGTTTTTAAATTTACTTATTAATGATATTTACAACTGTATTAAACTAAAAATACATTTAGTAAATGTGCACACAGAGATGTAATAATATGAAAATGCTTTTTGAGAAACTACCATAGTAATAATGCATTTACATATGCTGATCACAAGACCAGCTTCTTTTCAGATGCCTTGGATAGTTATCAGGAATCAAGGAGGAAGCAAGTATTGAATCGAGATGGTTCTGGAATTTGTTATAGAAGGATAGGTATCTGGATTGAGCCAAATCGAAAACATAAAGGTTGTTATGGACGATTTTATTTGTGTCAAAGTAAAGAGCATTGAGGATTTTACGAAGGACTTTGAATTGCAAGTATAGGATATGAGAGGAATTTGATGGTTTAGTGGCACCTCTAAGCTCAATTCTGTCTATATTCAAAGTATAGACTTTATTATAGGAGTCTTGCAATTAAATGAAAGCTTTCATCGTTTGCCTAGTAAATGCTGGAGTAGTCGGAAACATTGAGGGGTTTCTTGTCATTTCAGTCTTGTATGAGGATTCTGCTGTCATTTGTCCAGGTGGAGTCCTAGATATCTGATTTGCTGAGCAGTGATAAGTGAGGAATTGTTAAAGGATAGTCTAGGGCAGGAGGTCGTAAGTTTACAATGAAGGATATAGATAATTTGATAGAATTTATGCCAATCAATCCTCCAGTTTTACTAACGATAGTAAGAATAAAATAATTGTAAAGCAGATTTATTATTTTTTTAATTGATACATTCAATAATGATGACAGTGTTGTGATGTTAGCTGTATAAACCATGTAATGAATAGGACCCAGAATACTACCGTGGGAACACCAACAGACTTGGAAAAAAGTGATGAATAGGCATTATTGTGATTTACTTTGAAATATCTATCAGTAAGGTAGGAATGGATAATGAGGAAGTATGTAGGTAGTAGATATTTTTGTTCATCAGTCCAGGGTGCCAATCTGTTAAAATTCCAGAAAGGCACCCATGCAACATATTCTGCGCTCCAATGTAGAAAAGACTGTCTATCACACGATGACCTTGTTGCTGGATAGTGGAATCCAAATTGGTGGTCTGGGATAATGTGATTAGAGTCTAGGAGTTTCCAGAATTTTGTCTATTATGGGTAAAAGAGAGATAGGACAGTAAGAGGATGGATATTCTAGTAGCTTTTTAGGTTTGTGTGTCATTTTCACAATAGACAGTTTCCAAGGGTCAGAAAAATATGTGGATCAGAGTACAGTATTATATATAAACCAAGGAATAGAATGGTTTTCCAAGGAAGCAGTTTTAGGATTTGGGATGTAATGACATCCTGTTCAGGAGATTTGCGGGAAGGTAATCTGCTAATGATATTGGATATTTCTGAAAGATAAGATGGAAGCGTCATTTGGAGTGAAATATCTAGCCCTACTTTAATATATTTAAGGTGAACAGCATTAATGAACTTTACCAGTACAGATGTTTTTATTAGTACTGGCTATTATTGATGCTCTAAGTTTGTCTATGACATCATCAATATCCTGTTTGGTCTTTAGCGGAATTTTCAATTCTAATGTATTTTCCAAATCATCACAAAATCTGTCCCAGTTACCTTATCCTATGATTGATGTAGGATTTAAGGGTTGAACAGTAAAGTTTGAATGTAGTAAAAGCAGAATTGGACTAAGATTAGAAATAAAGTAAAAAGTGTTCATTAAATACCAAGTACTAATATGTCTGTGGTTAAAATGGCTAATATGAATATTGAAGGAAATATATTGTGTCCTATTCCAGGCTTGCTATTTGTGTTTTTATTGTAATCATTAAGCCATTCCAGATAATTAGATCCAGCATAATAACGGTAATTTCTTTCTCATTCAAGGTTTAAAAAACGCCTTTTCTTCAGTAGTTAATGGCTGGTTGTAGCAGTAATGTATACTCTGAAAAGACTTCTCAAAAGTGATGAACATATTTATTCGTTATGATTTGGTTTTTGACCCTGTATGTTTCTCTAATACTAAGTCAAGTCAATATACAATTTTGAATAATGGCTCATTAAAAAGGAGGATGAAATGCTAAACATTTCCCTTCCTTAGAGTATGCAGTTCCAATTTTTAGTTTCTGGGATATTTCAATTCAATTGCAAAAACACTTCAATTAGTCGACTTTACCCGAATGAGCGTTATACATCCGAGCCTGGCAGCACAGTTTCATTCACCCCACACAAAAAAGTGCAATATGTGCTTAGAGAAGCTTTCACTTCAAAAACAAACTTATTTATAAATATATTAAGTTTCAAAAATTATGTTTTAATACCGATTTTACAAATATTAATTCTCTATTAATAATTTAAATACTCCTTCTTCCTTTTGGGACATGTATTGGACCCTTTTATATTCCACTAACAAAACGATAAGAAAAAGGTAAGTTGAAATTTTGTCATGTGAAATATATTCTGTTGTATATAAAATTTTAAGAATTTCAAAGTTTTAAAAGCTTCATTCCAAGATCCAAAATAATAATAATTGAATTAAAAATAAAAAATAAAAATTAAGAATTCCTATATCGCATCAATTTTCACAGATACACCCAGCTTCCTATTGTTTAAACAATTGTTTTTAAGATTAACAATAAATAGTAAAAACTGAAGTGGATAATAAAATAGTGAAATCTAAACAGGAAGGTAGCATTAATCAGAGGATAAAAAAAAAACGTCAACTCAAGGGATTGGTCCCTTACTATGTTCTTAAATGAAAATAATTCTGTTTTTATATATATTATAATAGCACATGTTTCTTTTAAATTTATTAAAACGAATAATTTTTATCATACAAGTAAATGTGAAGTCAAAGATTAACAAAAAAAAGACCTGTGGAGGTCTATTACCTATTGGTAGTACGACATTAAAACAAATAAATAAATAATTATATGAACTACTTACAAGATTTTTTTTATTTGGAAAAGAACATTTTGTTTATTATAATTAAATTCATTTTTTTATAAAATGATAGATAACATTTAATTGCTCAAATTTTATTTTAATTAAAAACTTCACTGTTTTTACAGCAATCATATGAATCACATCTGGTGAACTATTACAATACTTATATTAATGAACTTTATATATGTGCAACGTATAATTTTATTTTTAAAAAACTCCGTAATTAATAAGCTGATGTTTTTAACACTGTTTATGCTAAGAATTTCTCAAATGATTTACCTATTTGTAGGAAGGAACTTTTAATGTATGGTAATAAGAGTTTTTGTAAAAAATCAATATTTAACTATGATGTAGACCAGATAAATGGGCTATCTATACAGAAGTAATAGGAACACTTGATCCACGTCATGTGTACTCTTGTCCTTTATTCTGGATAATGGTACCTAAAGCATGTTTGCCTGCTTGGTAGCCTTCTTGTATCAACTCGCCCCAATCCCAGAATCAGTGACCCTAAACTGCATGATTATGAGTTTTTACTTGACCAATTCAGATGGAAATGACCTAAAAGTAATGATAAAAAGTGAAAGGAAAATAGTTACATTCGTCAATAATTTAAACTTGCTAAAAGTATCTTTGATTTTCTTTAATTCATATTCTTTGATCCTCTATGCAATATAAAGATACTACAATTTTCAGAGTTTGGCCCAGGTGTCCCAATGTTGGTTGAACCCCTCTACTCCAATCTATGCCATGTTTCCTGAACTCTCTGACAACATCTTATCAGAATTTGCAGCATATTTTGCTTGGTCTCCTTCTTCCTTCCAGATTACAGGAGGATCTAGGTGGGGGAGAGGGAAGCTTTCGGGCAATGGTAAAATATGACCATGTCTTATAGAAGAAGTAATAAAACATTATTTCTAAAAGAAGTATTTTTTGTGTAATTACATTTTATAGAACTTCAAGAATCACTAATACACCATTTCATTTAGTTTGTTTCTTTTTTTCCAAAGTAATTATTATCGTTATGTATATAAAAAAAATATTTCGGACTAAAGCCCCAACCAAAAATTAAATCCTGAATCTGTTAGTAGCCCAGATAAGTCTTGGTCTCATAGGTCTTCCTGTCAATTTTTCATGATCCATCCTGAGAAAGCGTCTGAACCACATTAGCTTATGTCAAAAATTTTACTTCTGTTTATTTCAATAACTATAGTACCATTTCCATTATTTCAATTTTTCACTAATGCTTCCTGTTAAATAAATATAGAAGTGCCCCCTCCTCCAAGAAATTCTTTTTCTCTCTTCTTCATAAAAACTGTGCAAAGAAAAGTATAATTATTAAAATTATTCTTGACTTGAAAGTTACTCCCAATATTAGAATTCCACAAAAAAGTTTTGTCTCCAAAAATTCACAACCTCGTCAAAAAGTACCCTCCTCATTTTTTATTTATTCTAAATCCTTAAAAATATGCTCTCCTCAAAAATGATTTTGGTGCAACTTGTTTGTTGAACATAATTAAGTATCAAGGAACAAAATATATTAATTTTTTTCATATAGTTTAGTTACATATATTTACATCCTATTAAATTTTGCAATTGAAATGTCCAGTTTAAACATTTAACATATATTATTAAGAAAATGTTATAATTTTAAGGCTGAAGAGAGTAGGTCAAATATATCAGACATATAGGAGAATAATTACACATTACACACAAAGAAAAAAAAAAAATGAATCTACTTGTTAGATGCATATCTAATGAGTAAGGACTGGATTTACAGGCAAATGCACAAATGTTTGTAGAATATTTTTAAAAATATGAATCAATCTTTTTATAAAAACCAGTCTTACTAAGTCCTTTGACTAATATTTATGTAGCATATTTGATTTTTGTGCATATTTAGGCACAAAGCTAAAAGTATCATGTTGGTATTACTGCAATATGGTCATTGATATTTTGGAAAAATTGTTTTCAGCTGTTTGATTTATATAATATTCGTTAATAAGACAAAAAAAAAAGAAATGCTAACAATCAATATGTAACAAATTCTGTTCTGTTACACATTCATATTAACAGATTTGTTCTATATGAATATCTCTTAGTCTGATGTTTGATATAATTTTTATAATTATAGAGTATTTTAGAACTAAAGCTTTCAGAAGTTTAAATTGAACAAATTATGATGTTAAAATGGTCATTTTCATCAAGATGATAATAAAATTTCATATAAAAAAGAAATATTCAAGCATTATTGAAGACAATAGTTTTATAATTTAGCTTTAAATTTTTACTAGACATACACCCATATAGTTTTAAATTTATAATTGTCAGCATATGTTGTACTATTAATCCTAGGGGTAAAAACGAAAGACGGCTCAGCTAATAAATTATTATTTAAAAATTGTAATGGTGTGCTTAACCGTTTTTCCTTAAGTACAAATTACGACTTTACGTTTTAGTTCAAATTCGAATCATCTTAGTTTACTTAAATAAATTATTCCATACTGTTTACATAAACAGGACTAAAACATTGAATTAACGGTACATTTTCAATGGTGTGATATATATGCCTAAGTTATCTTCAATTGAAAACATTGAAAATATATCATTTACAAACCATGATCCTCAGGCGATAATAGTTTGTAATATTGAAATTTTTAATAGTGAACGATATTTCTGAATACGTGCGCATACGATCAGTGATAGTTTGCGCACCACTGGCAGCAAGTTGGGTCGGCCATATTGAAAGTCGATCGAAGACGGGAAGCAACGCCCTCAAGTGACGGAATTTTAGTTAGGGATTGTTTTGAATGAATTTTTGATAAAAAGTGAATATGTTGTATTGTTTGGTTAGTGAGTGATGTAGCTGTGATGTCTTGAGTTATTGTTATGGCTGATGTTGTTGCCTCTGGTAACTGCTTACTCCATTTAGCCCAGATGAAATAGTTTTCACACTACATCGGAGCCATTTTGCTGACAGCGCCTACAGTGCCGATTTCCAGCAATTTTCGCTTTTAATGCCCCCTGTATTCTAAAATTGTAAGTAAGAATTGTTTACATCCCCGACAGATTGCGTACTCAAATTGTGTAGAATGGAAAATACATTTCAAACTTTCAAATATATGGTCTTGCCACTATATTTTCCTATAGTTAACCTTATGTGTATCTTTCAGCACCTTGGCGAGATAATGAATAGAATGATTAATTTCGTAGATCATTTGTGTACTTCATACCCTTATCACCCTCTTAGTTTGATCCCATTTTTAATTTTTAATCGAATATCATAGTTATTTATTTATCCTCTGTGAAATTTTATAAAATTATGGTGTTCATGAGGTTCATGAATGGTCATGGCCTTCACAAAGTGCTTTGTTTTAATCTGCCATAATACCCTCTCTTAATAAAGTTTAACATAGCAGTGCATTTATTCATTTAATGAATCTGATTTAATCTAAGAATTAAGGTTCTGTATCTTATAATAAGTAATTCCATGTCAATTTGTTATAGTTAATATAATTTTATGTTGGGGATTTTTTTTTCAGTTTAAAGTGTAGTTATAAGAAAATTTAAACATTAAGATACATCAAATAAGGATAAGATAACCATTGGGGAAAAATGAGTTCGAAGAAGATACCAGGTTTGTAAATACTTGAATTTAAGATATGTTAAAATTTAAAGTAATTCAATAGCTTAATATTTGATTTTTTGACATTAGTTAGACATGGCCAAACTTTAAGAGTAATTAAAATGGATAGCAACCCTGGATCTTCTGGAGGAACAAGTGCAGGAGGAGAAACTATTACGGATATTCAGAACTATCTTGAAACTTTCAATAAAGAGATAGAAGGAGGAGATTCTGCTAATAGCCAAATAGGGATCAAATTCGAAACAAGTAAGTAAATGTTACCTATCATCTAAATTAAGACATCATACTTCATTTACTTAGAGTCTGGGCTAGGTACAGTTAATGGGGGAACCCCACCTCACTTTGCAGCATAATAAGATTTAGTTTTATTTTCATTCTCCCGTAATTTAAGTGTAAGTAATGATATTAAAACATTTATTAGTTCTCTGGGTTCATTATAATAGCATTGTATCAAAGAATTTCAGTTAATAAGATATCTTTTTAGATATTATAACTAAATTTTACAAATTATTAAACTTTTAATTATGAAAATTTATAGAGAGAAAATTCCACCACTCTTTTCTGAGTATAATTAAAAAAAAAAATCTCTAAAGACATGATATGTACTTTAATTAACTTGCTAAATTAATCTGTATGAATAGAAAATATTTGAAGGAAAATTTGTTTTTATAGTTAGTTTAAATTTGTATTTGGCTTTTGTTGTTTACTGTCACCGATGTAATTAGAGTATTTCTACTATTGACCTTCAGAAGAAACTAGAAAGTTCTAGTCCTGCTATTTATCGATGTATGTTTGGATTTATTTCAATAATTAAAGGCTTAGTGAACCCGACGGTTCGATACTGATGCCACCAGTCGTCTAAATATTTATGTTCCTCCACCGGCAGCTGTCCAACCAACCCTACCCGATCAATCTTTCCTCCTTCACCTCTGTCTACCCCTAGGATGCATACCATGTTAACCTCTTAGCAATTCTTTTGTTTCTATACTCCACAATTTTACATGCCCATTTTATTTGCTGCAGTGTAATCACCTCAATTATATTAATTGGGTACAGATCATGCAATCCAGCAATGTGTTACCTAATAAATTCTCTGATTGACTTATCCTTCTTCAATCCAAATATTCTAGGCTATACCTTATTCTCAAAAACATTAAGATATTGCTTTATTTTTACATTGTTAGTTTGCTAAGAAATTTTTTTTAGATGATCATTAGTTTGATTAGAAGATTACCTTGTTTCAGCGAATCTGATTAGGCTTATAGGATTAATAAGCTCAGAGTCTTTGGGATCTATTGATCGGTCCTCATCAAACTGCTGGAGCCTGAGCCTGGCCAACTTGTCACACTGACAGATAGTGTGGAAGCCTGTTTCATTCTCTTTATGATAAAATGCACTCAAGGGTGTCTCGGTCATTCTGAGATTGAACATGTGATGGATCCGTTTATAGTGACCCATATAGATTGCAGTAAGCTTCTTAAGAGCTGAATAGTAGAAGTTGAATAGTAGCTTGCTCCTTTTGTCGCATGACCTTTCAAGGAAAAGCTTTGAATAACATACCTTGGTGAATTAGAACTATTTAAATTCCTCACCATATATTTCGCTGGCTCTTCATTTGGTAAAACTCAAGTTTATACCACAAACTGATTCAGAGGTTATTGGAATAATCTCTGAGCCCATTGGGCCTAGTTTGCTAGCCTCTTCGTTGCCCCGGATCCTAGAGATGATCTGATATCCATTCAAGGGCAAGGTTCAGATTTGTACTAAAATCTTGCTCATCTCTTGATGTAAGCTGCCATATCTTGCATCCATAAAGAATCCTAGAAAGGATAATAGATAATGGTAAAAGGATAATTGTAAATCTAATTTTTAAGTTTCAGGACAGGAGATTTTGGTTTTAGTAGATACAGTACAAAATTAATTCTTTAGCAAACTAGCTGCCTTATATCAATTTTTTATTTGCCTTTCATTTGATGCTTATTGTATAATGCATTTATTGTTACTAATAAAATGAAAAAAATCCTTGAACTTGATGGTTTGATGCCATTATCACCAATCAATATTTACATGACTACACTACCTACCCAACCAACTTTCTCTGTGATACAGTCCACAATATTTCCACCATAAATTAATATTAAATAAAGAATTCGAAAAATATGAATTAAGTGTTGTCGATTAAAGTGTATTTTATATGTTTTGTTAATTGAACTAAAATAATTTTGTTGTAATTAGTTTTAAATTGATAAATAAGCTTTTATTATTTATATGTTTCTATAGTGTTAAATTATCATTACAAATGAATTAAATTTAATAATAATAAAAAGCTTGGGGAACCCAAACGTTCGATGCTTACACCACCAATCGCTGTCTATACACCTCTCTTCACCGGTCACTGCCCCAGCCCAGCCTTACTAGAGCAGCCTTAAACGCAATCTTCCCATGTTCACTTCAGTCTTCCGTTCAAATATCAACCATTGAGGAATTCTTTTGTTACTAAGACCAAAAATGTACATTTTACATGCTTTCATTCCCCGTTATGTAACCATCCAAATTGTCTACTTGACTCATCCTTCTCCAGTCCGAATATTCTAAGCAATACTTTATAGCATTAAATTTACTAAATTAAAACATAATGAAATTAATATATCATTTATATTTTTATTGTTTTAGGTGAAGTTTCAACTGAAGTTACAGAAGTTGATGGTGGAGAATCTGGTGCTTATTACATAGATCAAGCTACTGGTCAGTATTACTATGAATCCAGATCTGAAGACGGTCAGAGGGTGATGACAGTAGTACCAGGTAGAATTTATTTTACCATTATTACTTACTCAACTATTGAGGAGTGTGAGACTGTGAATTAGTAAAAGAAATTTATTGATTTCATTAAATTTCACAATTTTGTTTTCTCTTGAGTCCTAAAATTTGATTTGTTAACTCTTTTAGGGATTCCAGAATCTCATACTGTTGAAGATCAGTTTGTTCCTATCGACAATCAAACTGATGAAAATGAAGTTACTGAAGATGTGAGTAAATGTTATGATTATTGATTTCTATTAATGTACTCATGTTTATTATTAAAAAAAATTGTTAACCGACCACCTTGAACAACGACCTGGAAGTTAAGCAAACTATGTTATAAGTGGTTAGTCATCCACCTGATGTTAGGTATGTTAACTCCCTCATGACTTATCCCTTTCCACCAATGCTGTTTAAACAAAAAAAAAAAAAAAATTAATTTACTTATTTTAGTAAGCTTGAAAAATGTTGCAAGGCTAAATTGTGCCAAAGGAATAAGGATATAATAGATTATTTTTTCTTGAGGGTAATGGGTATAATGCTCACATTGTCCTTAGTCACATTACTGGCAAGAACACTATGCCACTGCTTCTTAATTCTCAGCATCTATAATGCCCACAGCATTTAGCCTTGTTATTATAGTCTGTGTTACAGATCCGTTTTATCAAATTATAAACATCCACCTAAAACTTTGGAAATAGCTGGACTTTAGAATTGGAGTGTTTTCTATCTGGAGATCCTTAAGTTTTTATCTATTTAATGAAGTACTAAAAGATCATTAATACCCATTTGCTTTCCTCTTGAATCATAAGATAATTTGATCAAAAAAATGGCCTACAAAAATATTTAGCTGTTTGTCGTGACCCCAACCACATGTCAAAATAACGAGGTCATATAAGGCAAACAGTCCAATATTTCTGTAGGCCATCTTTTTTATCGGATTCATCTTACGATTCAAGTGGAAAGCAGGTAGATATTTATTAGTATTGATCACCTCATATAATTAACTAATTTAATGAGAAAACACCCATTTCTGAGAATTTTCTTACATATAACAAATTGTAGGTTTGTATGTTAATCATTTGATATAAAGGAGTCTGTGACACGAACTATTACCCTTCCCATCTACTCAGTTAAATTGACAACCTTCTTCCTTCCAGCATAATCTAAATCATTCATTTGAATTAGATCTTTCCTTTTTTGATTTCTCTTGCATTGATTGGATCGTAGCACATACTACATACTCTCCTTTTACGTGACTGATGTCTGTGTATTTTACTTTACATAATTTAGTATAAAATTATGGATATCAACTCTTGTTATCTGTAATTAACTGACTAATAAACTTGATAGGTAATTAAATTTCCTGATTGGCTCAGGATTCCATAAAAATATAGATAAATACTATTTTTAACTATAGATTATAAATATTTTCCCCTTCATAAAAGAATGTATTAATATTTAATAATTATATTTTAGAAAATTAGCTAATAAAATGTAAAAATTAACATAGCACTTAATCTTTTTTTTCTTTTTACAAATTTTTTAAGTTCTTAGATCAAGGAATATTTCTCTTGCATCTTACTAACTTCACAAAATGAACCATTGACTACATTTTAATTTCTTATAATCCATTTATTAGTTGAGTTATCATCAAAAGAGGGTACTCTTTTCTTGGGTATTTAACCTCTTACTTGGTCTCAGTTACATATTTGTTAAAAATGTTTATAATTATAATAACATTCATTAAATGTTTCTGATTGATTGGCAAGCAACCTTAATAATGATAGTGGAGTGTATGTTTAGAGTAGATTGTATGGTGGATCTTAAGAACTGTGAGCTAGTCATTCCTCCTACAAGTATCTTAAAGTTTGCCGAATGCTATGAAAATTACTTTTTGATTAAAAATGAAAATGTTTCCATGTTTGAACAGCAAAAAATAGAATGGCACAAAATAGCCATGATAAGGCTGTATTGCATCAAGCTAGAAGAAAACAAAATACAGAATAATTATTAATTTTATCTTTAGGTCCAGGTTATGGATGAAAGTGGACAGATGGTACTTGGTACAGGCGATTCATACCAAACTGTTACAATAGTTCCCTCTGAAACAAGCACTGGAGAGGTCAGTTATGTCTTAATTGTCCAACAGCCAGAAGATAAGGAAAAAGAAGAGGATCAGGATCTTACAGTTTATGATTTTGATGACCATGAAGAACAACATCCAGTGAGTGGTGCGGTATGTATTTCTTGTTTTCCCTTTTGATTGTGGTTAATTTATTTATTTCTTGTTTGATGAATACTGGGTTATAATGGGGAATATATAAGAACCAATACAGCATTTTCATTGGAAAGAAGTCTGTGCCACATTAACTCACGAAAGTGGCCAGATATATGAATGTGTTAAAAGATATATTATGTTCAAACAATATTTCTATAAAGTGCTAAGCAGGCATTCAAAGTATTTTTGCAAAGTGTATAACATAATTCTTATAAATCAAAGATTTTACTATAATGAAAATTGTATTTACCCTTTTATCAATTTCATATTCTAAATATTTAGGAGTCAGGTGATGAAGAAGATAAAGCAAAAATTATAAAGATGATTCCGAAGAAATCACAAACGGTAACTCAGGCCCATATGTGTAATTACTGTAACTACACCAGCCCTAAAAGGTAATTTAAAGATTTTGTATTTAATGAGTATCTGTCTTATTGTTCTTATTTAATTTTCAAAATGACCTTAATACTAGTAGTTTTTGATATGCGAAATTAAGTTTAGTAATTTTTTGTGTTGGAATAAACCATTGGAATCCCATTAGAGTACAGGTGGGAAACCTGTGACCCCGAGGCCACCATGAGCTACCAGCCTAGCAGCCTCTGTTAGTTAGTCTTCATTAATTTTGCATAAATTAGTAGAATAAAATTGAGTATACGTACCTGGTTGATGTATATGTTTACTTATAAATAAAAATAGCAACAGTAAAATATAGAAAGATATTACAGCCTCCATTGTCACTACCTAACCTTAATATTGTTTAGTTACAAATTCTATAATATCGAATGGCTTAATTTTGTTGCTGATAGTCTCTTTATAATTTATAGTATATTTCAACCACAAAAGTCTTGGAAACATATTCTTAACAGATGCACGGTTACCATTTGATTTAGTGTGATAAAAGAAAAAATATTTGAAAGAGAATCACTTTATTTTCATAACATTGAGAGGTTCCACAGTCTTCGTCCTACAAGAACCTTGGTCTCTGCTGATGTCTTCTTCGACAAGTCCTTAAATGCTGAAAGGTGTTTCCATCTCTTATACTCACGTCTTTCAGGTTATTCGTCCACATTGTCCAACCACCTTTCTGCCTTCTTCCTTCTACAGTTTCCCATAGAGCAGTTTTCTTGGCATTCTTGTATGGTCTATCCTGTCCACATGCCCCAACCATCATATTTTATTGAGTTGAATGACTAGTATCTAACAATTTCATTTAATCACCACCTAACAATTTCCTGTTCACCATACAGGTCTTTTGACTCTTGATTAGTCCTGATTCTCCTTTGATCATCCACATGGATAACTCTCGGTTAGTCACAATTCTTCATTGATCATCCACTTTGATTGGCCCATTAGTTTTTTAAAAATACATTTCTTTCCTATATGTGAAGGATCCTTTCACTTTCTTTAGTCATGGATAGATGTCTCATATCCATATATGAAAATAGGTCTCTTATTCATTCTACCTACTAGAGATTTTACCTTACTGGACAGATTTTTGAAATTCATAAGTTTCTGTACACTATTGAGACATCGGTCTCCTGTTGCCATAAATGCCTTAATATCTCTGTTTTGTTCTTATCATGCTAATGTTCTTAAGTTATCATGCTACCTAGGTATGTAAATTCTTCACAGCTCTTGAAGTTCTAATTCCTTATCCACATTTCCTCTCCTTTCAGCTGGTCTGTTCTTGATGTTCTCTGAGGGATTCTGCAAGAGTATCTTCTGGTGCTAGTACAGTCCATGCTGTAATGAGCACAGCATCTGTTCTGCATATCCTAAATGTTCTGTCTTGCAATTGTAAATTTTACCTTTGCCATTTGTTTTATTTTCCTTTTGGCTGCTTCAAATGCAAAATTAAAAAACGCCGTAGATAGTGGATCTCCTTATCTGAGACCTCTACTTATTTTGAATTTTTGTGCGAGCTTCCCTTTGAAAAGCATTCTGCTGGATGTACTACATAGTGTGATTCGGACCAACTTTATTAATTTCTTTGGAGTTCCTAGATTCCACTGATGCTCGTACATTTTTTCTCTTATCACTTAATCGTATGCTTGTCTGCAGTCTATTAACAAATTAAATAAGTTTTTATTGTATAAGCTTTTTGCAATATTTACCTTATTCAAAAAATCTGATCCCTCTGTTCTATAGCCCTTTTTTTATTTATTGGATATATATGGAACATTGACCATTCTTAAAGCATTTTTTTGTACCGCCATACACTAGTAATTATATTGTTAATGTTCCTTTACGTTTCATCCTCTACATTTGTTTTCATTTCATTTTGTATTTCGTTCAGAAATGGTGCTTTATTGTTTTTGAGCTGGCAGGTGACTTCAATAATCTCTTCTTATCAGCTGACTTCCTTTTCTTATCTTTGTTTCCCAAGTTCTCAACTTCATCTAGAGCATTTCTAATCAACATTCCCTTATTTTCCAACAGCTCCTCTACCTCTTGAACATCACCCAAGATCTCCTGAAAATGACCTGTCCATCTTTCAAATATTTCTGCTTCATCAAGAAAGGTCCAAGTTGACGTTCTTGTCTTGATGAAATTTCTTCTTTGACAAAAACGTGCTCTTGAGTTCTATTGTAAGAATCTATCACTTTCCTTGAAATGCTTTTCTGTTTTATCCAGCCTTTATATCTCCTGTAGTATTTTCTTATTTGTACATAGCTTCATTGCCAACATTGTTTTTTTATGTACAAATCTTGGCCTATTGTTTTTTGTAGATTTCTTATCTGACCTTCTTTTTTTCTGCAATATCAAAACCTCGCCATTCATGATCAAAGCAGTCTTTATTGTTCTTCTTAGTTCTCCTTCCCAGCACCTCCCCTGCTTCCTCTTTTATCACATTTTATCATTTTCCATCTTCCCCAATCATCATCCATTGTTGACATCTCAACTTTTATCTACATTTCTCTGTGACTTTTTCCTTATGTCTTCCATCTTCAGCCATTCTAATCCCTATCTGAACTTAACAAATACAGATTTTTAGAAGTCCAATTTTAATTAATGTATTATGTTTAGGTATCTTCTTTCGAGACACATGAAATCTCATTCTGAAGAAAGACCTCACAAATGCAGTGTTTGCGAGAGAGGATTCAAAACACTTGCGTCTTTACAAAATCATGTAAATACTCATACGGGCACTAAGCCGCACCGTTGTAAATATTGCCAGAGTGCCTTCACTACATCAGGTGAGTATATACAGTTTTAAATATGTATATACTTAGTGGTGTGAAAATCTTTGCATAAATCAAATTTTTATAAAACTGATAAATGTTTAAATTTAAACTTTCTTGATTGTAATCTGTTCTAACCTTTAAAACATTTCTGCTAATTTAAATGTTCAATACTCTAAACCAGTATCATCATCATCACCACCATCACATTCTTATCAATTCAGTGAAAATATCAGTGTCTTATTCTCTGCCATATTTTGATTTTAATTTAATTTTGTTTAAATCATTCTCCAAACTTGACAGCAATTTTAGTGTCATGAATACTAGCTACAATTATGAATTATTTCCTAACAGTACAAAGGTCAAATACCTCATAAGTATTTTTCTTTAACTACCTACTAGTAGACCTTTAAATCTTGATTAAAACAAGTATCATCTTAAATTCAACTATCCTCACCACATGATTACTATTTCTTTACTAGTATTTACTTGTTCAAAAAATATTTTTTTACTTATGTAACAACATATAATAAACCACAGAATAATCTGGTGTTGATTACTTGTTTTATTTACTTAGGTGCCTTTGATAATTAGATAAACCCTATTATTTTCAGGTGAATTAGTTAGGCATGTGCGCTACAAGCACACTCATGAAAAACCGCATAAGTGCTCTATTTGTGATTATGCGAGTGTTGAACTCAGTAAAATGCGAAACCACATGAGGTGTCATACAGGTGAACGGCCTTATCAGGTAATTTAATCTATGTTTTTTTTAATTAATGTAGTTAAAATAAGTTTTTATTGTTAAAAATTATCATTAAAATTCAAGATTTTTTTTATTTTGACTTAATCCCATATGTTCTAATTAATATGTGGAAATTTTATTATTATTTTTGCTTCTTCACAGCCAAAGATAGGGAAACATTGTATTTGTGGCGAGAGGTTAAAAAAATTGTTATTCTCAGAATCGAAAATTTCCACTCGCTTTTTACGTTTCAGACATCAAGGATCAAATTTCGTTCGGTCTCTGTCTATCTATAGTCAAATCGATGTAACGTGCATACACCTAATACCATTTATTCGATTTTCATGAAATTTTCAGAGATTGTGTAGGTCGACGCCTAGATGGTCCCATATTAATTTTATCAAATTCCATTCAGCACTTCCGCTTGGGCACACATAAATGTGCTTTCAAAGATTTGTCAATATTTCAAAACAACTTGTTCGATTTGGTTCAAAGTAAAATTAATAAAAAAATAGTATGGTATCAATTTCATTGAATTCCGTCTTCTACTTTCTGTAATATATGCACAAATGTGTTTTTCTAAATACGTCTATATCTCTAAAATCGCACGTTCAATTTGGAGGGGAGATAGGTATTGGTTAACAGATAAGTAATCATCAATTTATCAAATTCTGTTCACTAGTTTCAAAAAAATACTTTCGCTTTCAGATCAGGAAATGTATTATTTGACAAGCCTATAGTTTGAAAAGGGCTCATTCGACTTGGCCCACACCTGAAGGAAATTTGGAGAATAGTATAGAAATCACCTAGTATCAATTTCATTGAATTCCATTTAATAATCAAAATTAATATAAATAATTGTTAACAATTAATTGATGACTGTGAAATATGGAAGGCATTGATCATATGCAGTGGGAGATAGGTTAATACTATATTTTTATATGGTTATAAAACTTTAGGTTTTATTCAAAAAGTTAATTTATACTGTATTGTTTGGTTGATTCCAAATGTTACTGCAATGACACTTATTGCCATTGCTTGATTTTGTTTAATTTTCAGTAAATTTAAATTAATTTTTACTCTGAGTTTGTAAAAAAACAACATCTTATTGTTGATTGTTTATATTTTTATTTAAGTTTAACCAGCTTGTCATGGTCTTGATTTCCTTGTTAAATATTAAAGTCATGTGAAATTCACGTATATTTTTAAATTTCAGCCTAATTAGCATTGTTCTGACTTAAGAAAAGTATTGGTCTCTCTAGTTCCCAACAAACAAAAAATTGAATTTTTCCTATGGAATTTTTGTTCCACCCATTTTATGAGTTTAAAGTAGTGATACCTATTAAGTAATTATCACTACGGTAATTTAGTATTTGCTGATGAACAAAACTCGTGAATTTCAAACCCGTATATGTTGAGGGATTACTGAATTTCCTAAAACGGCTTCTCCCAGAAATTTTATTCTCATACGAAAAGTTTTAGACCTTATAGATATTTATAGAATATAGATATTTCTTAGCCAATGAAAACGGTGAGGAAGCTATACTGACCTTACTGAACGACTTTTTTCTATTTATTGTATTCTCATTCTGATTCTACCAATCTAACAATTAAATAAGTTTTATTAAATTACTATTTTATTTTGTCTATAATACTTTTCCAAAATTGATTAAATATTACTATATGAACATTTTTAACCATATGTCTAAATTTATGTATACCTATTAAATTTTCAGTGTCCTCATTGTACATATGCTAGTCCAGACACATTTAAATTAAAAAGACATCTCAGAATCCACACAGGAGAAAAGCCATATGAGTGTGATATTTGCCCTTCTCGATTCACTCAGTCTAATAGTCTTAAAGCTCACAAACTTATTCATAGTGGTAAGTCCTTATACAATATTTTATAGCATGACTTAGGTTTACTAATCTAAAATTTTATGATTTATTGTATTGTTAAGAGAACAGTGGCAGCAGGTTTTCAAAGACCAGTCAACTAGAATCTTTATTTCAATTTTTGGATTTACTGATCTAGTGTCTTTAGTAGTATAATTTGTAACCAGTGTTGATTCTTATTTCTAATTTTAAAGTATTAACATAATAAACAAAAAATCACATAACTTGAAAGATAACTTTAGTTGTATTTTCCAAGCAATCAGTTGCATCTGAATATAGCTAAGATAAAAGATCTTCTTAACTATTCTAAAAAATTTTGAATCCTTTTGCACTTTACTGTTCCTTAATGGGGATTAATAACTCATTTAGAAATCTCATGTAATCTTTGTTCAACACTACAAATTATTTTTTAGAGCTTTTGTATTTGTTTTTTATTTATTTTATTTTCTGTTCATACAGCGGGTGACAAGCCTGTCTATCGATGTGAATTGTGCCCTGCTACTTGTGGTAGAAAGACTGATCTCCGAATACATGTACAGAAGTTGCATACCTCTGATAAACCTCTAAAATGTAAGCGGTGTGGTAAGCAGTTTCCAGACAGATATACTTATAAGGTATTGTTACAAAAACAAAATAAATTTTTTCATTCTCTTATGTATAAGTGAAGGAATTTATGTCTGTTAGTTATATCTGTTTAGAAGTAGCTTAAAACTAAACTAGACTTTAAACTGTATCTATTTATTTTGAATTTTTCTTTAAATTTTTTATTATCGGTTATACTTGATAATAGTTTTTTTGTAGTAAGAAAGGGAGGGAGGCCAGGGGATTAAAAAATAAATAATAATAATGAAATTATTGATATTCTTCTTTTTGTTTATATTGATAAATAGATCACTACAGCCCAGTAAATTTAGGATTTGATATCAAGAAAATTCATAATTGGCTGTAAATGTGGGGATTAGTTTTTCATCGAATGTGTAGAACAAACCATGCATGAAAATTCTCCTAAAATCCCATGTCCGCACCTATCCAAAATGGAGATGAAAGATTGCCACCTAGAAATTCCTGCCTTATGTTATGTTTTTTCTCATTCTCCGTCAAAAACCATCATTCTTGAATTCTATATGTACTAATATAATCGTCAAGGATGCTCATTTTGGATCCATCGAAGTTCACCTGATAAAAAAAAGATAAACGAGCTATAAATTGATCTGTTTGGAGTCAAAAAAGCAAAATTTTCTTGATTCTAATTCTGTCACCCCTCATAACTTTGAAACTATTGACAAATAGAAAATAATGTTTGTTATGTTTTTTGTAGTTCTAACCAAGAGGAACGTTAGAGAAATTGTTTTTTAAAATATTTGCTTAAAAATTATGATGATAAATAAGTAAGAATATTTATTTCAGTGATTTAATCTCACTATCATTCCACTCAATTACATCATAACGTTTCAGGATTCACTTATATCCCATCTAAAGACAGTATCCTGCATCATCTTATTCTCCATAAGACTTGTCATATTATATTATTTACTTATTATTGTCCTAGGGAGACTAAAATATAATTTCAAGGAACAGGACAATAATAAATAAATAATATAATATGACAAATCTTATGGAGAATAAGATGATGCGGGATACTGTCTGTAGATGGGATATAAGTGAATCCCGAAACGTAATGATGTAATTGAGTGGAATGATTGTGAGAATAAATCACTGAAATAAATATTCTTACTTATATATCTCCATAATTTTTCAGCAAATATTTTTAAAAACAATTTTTTTAACGTTCCTCTTGCTTAGAACTACAAAAAACATAGCAAACATAATTTTTCAGCAAATATTTTTAAAAACAATTTTTTTAACGTTCCTCTTGCTTAGAACTACAAAAAACATAGCAAACATTATTTTCTATGTGTCAATAGTTTCAAAGTTATGAGGTGTGACAAAATTAGAATCAAGAAAATTTTGCTTTTTTATCAGTTGAACCTCGATGGAATCCAAAACGAGCATCCTTACGGATTATATTAGTACTTATAGAATTCAAAAATGATCGTTTTTGACGTAGATATGAGAAAAAATCATTCTAAAAAAAAAAAAAGTTCTAGGTAGCCATCTTTGACCCTCCATTTTGAATAAAAGCGGACATGGGATTTTTTAATGGTTTGTTCTAAATCAGCCCTTGCCTATTTTTACTGGGCTACTAGTACTCATGAGTTATTAAAATAAAAAAAAATAATTTTAATACAATAATTTTTTTTCTTTCTGTCTTTAGCTTCAAACTAGACAGTCCCACACAATGCCTTCTGAAAGAATCTGTACTATTTTTCTCTTGTGTTCACTTGGCTTCTTGTCTCGAAATAGCCTCTTCCTTTACATTTCCTATGTAGCTAGTCTACCACCTGATTGCTGCTCCCATAATGAATAATAAAAATCTTTTTTTTTACAGTGGTTTTTACTCAACTATTTATTTAATATAATACTTTCTTTTTTCGTTTAATTTCATTATTTACAAATTTTAAAGCAACCTTGTGTCATACTTTCACTGCCCAAGATATCATTGACTATGATACCTACTTTTGATTAAAAACGCTCTCATCTATTAATTTCTCTTTTTTTTTTTTCTTTTTTTCAGGTTCACAATAAATCACATGAAGGTGAAAAATGTTGGAAGTGTGATCTTTGTCCTTATGCATCAGTTTCACAAAGGCATCTTGAATCTCATATGCTCATTCACACAGACGAGAAACCTTATCAATGCGAGCAGTGCGATCAGGTGAATAAATTAACTAATATCATTTTTAAAATACATGTTTTCTTTCTCTTTCTATTGAAAAATTTACTGTATATTTTTTTTTAGGCTTTCAGACAAAAACAGCTGTTAAAACGACACCAAAATCTGTACCATAATCCAAATTATGTTCCCCCTGTGCCTCGTGAAAAAACTCACGAGTGCCCGGAATGTAACAGAGCTTTTAGACATAAAGGAAACCTTATAAGGCATATGTCAGCCCATGATCCTGAATCTTCAGCGGCCGAAAAAGCTTTAGCACTGAAAATAGGTCGACAAAAGAAGGTGAAACAAATTTCTAAGTTTAAATCAGTATCTAGTTTATTGTTAGTTTTCAATAAATTATAATTTAAGAAGGGGTTGGTCGAATGGGGGGGAGAGGAGGATGCGATCATATAAATACTATTCTAATAATATAGTATTTTGATTGAAAATATAAAAAAAAATAATAATAACTTTTTCATTGGTTTGCATACTGAAATCATTAATCTGTTATGGTTTATTATATAAAGTATACATAAGTGATTTTTTTTTTTTTTTTTTTTCAAGGTCCAAATTATTGATGGTCAGCAAGTTGAAGTGATGCCTGGTGAGGATGGTGATGAGGAAGATGAAATGGAAACAGATATTGATGGCAATGTTGTTGCAGTTGAAGGATCTGATGGACAGCAATATGTTGTTCTTGAAGTAATTCAATTACAAGTAAGTATTATAATAATATAATATCATAGTATTAAATTAGTTTAACTAAGCTTTATTACTCTCATATCATATATCATTTATCAGTTAGATTACCTTGTGTATCCTCAAAATATATGTTGATTTGATGATGATTGTATATGTTTATAAATATTACTATTTCTTTTATAATTAAACATTTGTTGCTTTGCTTCAGTCGCCACATTTTCATGAATATTTATTTTCTATTTTTGTGTGTTTTTCCATCTTCCCATCTCGTTGTCGTTTTGAAAAGTTAGACAATTAGATATCTTTAAAATAATCATTATTTCAGGATGGTGAGGAATGTGACCCGGAAGTAGCTGTCGTGAGTGGCTCTGATCACGGAGGTGTTGAACAAGCTGTAGCCATGCTTAGCGATGATAATCAATCTGAAGAAATCCTCCCTACTATTAGTAGATCATCTCAATCCATTGGTAATTTTGAATCTATTTTTATTTTTATACTAGACTGTTGTTTACTGTAATTTTACTTTAATTCTGGTGATTTACCTTACCATTCATTATACAAATAGGTTAAGATTAAACAATTCAGTGCCTTTTTCTCCTCTTTTTGTCAACTGATTTTGTTTTTTATTTAGTAACTATTGATGGGCTTATAAAAATATTGGGAAACTCTGTATATAAAACAAAATGTAAATATTTGTTCAAAACCCCTATTATCCAAAAGTTGTTCACAGACCGCTTTAAAATTTTGATACAATGATTGCAACAAATTCAGAAGTGTTTTTATAGACATTTCATTACCGTCTGGCCTTTATTTTTGAAATGGTGGCCGAAAAAGTGCGTCATGATGGAATTCAGTTTTGAGATCGTGTCTTTTTTATTAAAAAATAACATATCTCCATAATTTTGCAGCAAATATTAAAAAAACAATGTTTTGAACATTCCTCTTACTAAGAACTACAAAAAATATGAGAAATATTATTTCTCATTTGTCAATAGTTTCAAAGTTATGAGGGGTGACACAACTAAAATCAAGAAAATTTCGCTTTATTTACACCAAGTAGATCAATTTACAGCTCGTTTATCTTTTTTTTTTCTTCCTCCTCAGGCTCTCAGCGTGGAGGTGCTTCGATCCAAGCTTTCCATCTGTCCCGGTCCGTTGTCAATCCCTCATAGAATCCAACAGCTTTCCTCTTTTCTATCCTAGTCTAGGCACATTATCCATCCACGACATCCTTGGGCTACCTCTTGGTCTTTTGCCAGTTGGTCTAGCTTCTAAAAATTTGCATGGTCCATGTTCTTCATCCATTTAGCATATATGACTCAACCACTTTAATTGCCTCTTCTTAAGAATTTCAGTTTGTAGTCATATTTTTATCAGGTGAAATTCGATGGAATCCAAAACAAGCCATTATTTAATTAGTACTTATGGAATCAAGAACGATGATTTTTGGCAGATATATGAGAAAAACATAAAATAAGACAGAAAGTGTTAGGAGGCCATATCTTTGACCCTCCATTTTGGATGGAAGTGGACGTGGTATTTCAGAGGATTTTTCATGGCTTGTTCTGAATTAGATAAAGAACTAATTCCCACATTTACTGTTTAATAATAAGTAACAATTAAAAAACAAAGATTCACTCTTGACTTAACATTTTCAAAGCATACTTCTTTAAATTGTAATTTATTACTAATTGGTAATTAAATAAAAATATTCAGTTAAGAATTTTCCCAATAGGAAGTTTTCCTTATTACACTTTTTTTTTCTTTCTTTTAATTGTTAAAAATATTTTTTCCTTCCATCAGATCCATTCGTGTGCTTTCCAATATGCATGTCTATGATTCCATGGGTTATTTTATTTTTTTTTTATTTCTAGAAACAGAACGATCACCAGGCAAAAAGTCATCTGCAAATCACAAAAACAGAAATATGGAACAGGACATGGATAATTGTTTTGGATTTGATGACGATGAAGATGACAGAGATGAAGTTGAGACTGTGATCCCGTCCAAAGGTGATATCCGCATTCTCACAACAGGTGGTCTTCACTAAGGTAAGAAATGTTTACTCACCCTTAAAATGATATTTGACATAAAATTAAATTAACTGATAAATGAAGGTTACAGTCAGTGGGTCATCAGTTTCAACCAATTTTTCTTTTGGCCTATTCTATATTGAAAATTATTAAACATATGTCTTGGTGTTCGTTCCAATAGGCCTTAGAAACCGATAAAATATTTATTCTATTTAAAATTATGTTCACTTTTTTTGCCTAGATTTTTAATGAAAAAAAAAATATATTGTTTCATTTAAAAATCATATATATATTTGATTAAATGAGTTCGACAAGACTGTATTAATTGAGCTGGCCAAGTAAATTTAAGTTATGAAAATACAAGTAGGATTCAGTTTTTGTGTTATTTAAAACTCTCACTTTTAGTACATTGTTATTAGTTTAGTCAGAATTTATTGTCCATCCATCTCGATCTAATCGTTAAGCAGTAGAACAAGGATTTTGCAAGTAAACCCACTTTTCATCACAAGTGACAATTTTTTAGTATAATACAGCCTATTCTATTCATACAGTCTATTCTATTAAAATTGTTTGCACACATTTTTTGTCAATGTTGGACTTTCACAATTGTTTTCCACAACCAGAAAAAATATCTTAACTTTAAGTTGATTCCAACAATCCACACGAAAATTATCAGTTTAGGGTCCAATGCAGACACTGTACAAAGCCAAATTCCATGCACAAATTAAAGAAATGAGTAAAAACATAAGTAATTCAGCTTTCCAGCAGTTGTGTTAACCCAAACAAACCTAAATTTTTTTTTCGATAACTAATTACGGATTCTAACTTCTTTGAATGTTTCAGTCATCTGCATTTCTTTTTTTTTTTTTGCCTAATGCACTGTAGGCTTTATTAGACCTATTGAGTGCAGACTTGTTCTTACTAGCTTTACTTGTTTTTGAAGTGAAAACTTACTTAGGCACACTTTGCAATTGTTTTGTGGGTAGTGAAAGAGATTGAGTTGGCACACTCAGATATGTAAAGTCAGCTTGAGTTGACTAATTGAAGAGTTTTTAAAATTGAATTAAAATATCTCAGAAACTAAAAAAACAGACCTGCATACTGAAAGTGAGAAAAATTTCTAATGAGCTACAATTCAGCATTGTATTTTGACGTGATGCTGAATTAGAGAGTCTGAAAGGGAAAAAGATAGTGTAGAAAACTAAATAATAATGAGTTTTGTTGAACATATATATTAAAATATCTCAGAAACCAAAAATTGGACTTGCATACTGTAAGAAAGGGAAATTTTCAGCATTTCATTCTCTCTGTAATGAACTATAAATCAAAATTGTATTTTTACATGATGCTGAGTTTGTGTCGAAAAAAAGGTAGCACAAAAAAAACAATTGTTTTGAACATTGGACTAAAATATTTCATAAATACCATAAAGAATTTAGATATTTTTTTTTAGATACCATAAATATTTTTTTTAATTAGCCATAAAAATAAGAAATTATGTTATATTAATATATATATATATATATATATATATATATATATATATATATATATATATATATATATATATATATATATGTATATATATAGCTTTAATAACTTTTTAAAATGTGTTTAATCCGTTTTATTTATTTTCAGGGAAATTAAAAGACTGTAGCTTTAGAGTACCTGCATCAGGTATTATATTTTTTAAATAAAAACCGTTCTGTTTTTGGAAAGAATTCCAAAGCATCGATCGGCTATGAGTTCTAGTCTTTCAAAGCTTTGCATGTGGTGTTTCACCATGGTAAAGGTGCAAGCTATTAAAACTCACCAAAGATAATTAAGAACAGAACTTGGTAAAGAAACTAAAGATATAAATGAAAATTTCATTGAGACTCTCATTCCAAATTGTTTTAGCTTCAGAATTTTATGTTAAATGTACATGTACAAAAAGAGTGCAAAAGGAAGTATAAGTTAGTTTTAAATACTTGTCAGAGATTGTTTAATTTTTTGACATTTCGAAATTGTCTTATAGAAACACTGTATATATTTCCCCATTACAATTAGATACTTATTTGATTTATTTTTAGGTGTATAATATTATATCAATGTATAATGTCTATGTATAGTGTATACATATGTAACAAAACTGTTTTATTATAATCTATAATTTGAACAAATTTTTCACCTTCTAATTGTTAAGTTTATAGTGAAGTTAATTGTAAGTAACTAATGCCTGTACAAATATAAGATGTTTTAATTAAATTTCTTGGCAAAACACTTTTCTAGCAATATCACAATTTAAAGAAATAGATTCATTTATTGCTATGGAAACTACTTCAACTAGAACTTGAGGGCATCTCTGGTTGATGATTAGCCAAGTTTTTTATATTTCCAAATAAATACCTATTATGAATGTGTTGTATTTCTACTGTTTCAGTAGCTCAATAATTTTAATTTTACTAAAAAGGAAAGCATGTATTATTGTGTCAGTGACATATTTGTTACTATTTATTGACTTTAGATAGTTTATTTTAATGTAAAAAAATTATAACAATTTTCTTTTAGATGTTTCTTGCCATCTGTTTTTAGATATGTATATATGTGTACAGGTGACTATTGCTGTGACTTTCTAGTTAGTTAAGATAAAGAAAAAAAGTTTTCAATCAAACCAATGTCTTTATTATTTTTTAAAAATTAAATTTTAATCACGAAAAAGCTTGATTTTATTTCTTAAGTTGCAATAATTTTCCTTAAATGCAAACGGTATTTTATTTGTCTGTTATATTTATTTTATGTAAAGTTATGTGTACGAAACATTTACAATTATACTTCATTATGAATTATGTGATTAATTTTATTTTGTTATTTATTAATTAAAAGTGTACATTTTATTCTTATTACGTCCAGCTTTGTTTTGTTTCCATTATTCATTAACCTTAGACTATATTCTTTTATTTATCAAAATGTTAAAAACCTTTAACTGGTATTATATGTTGACACATTCCTATAGTATTCAGAAATAATGTTTTATCAACTAAGCAACATTTCAGAAACTCAATTCAAACATAGTTCATTAAATTACATTTAACATCAAGTTGCCAGAAAAGTAGAATGAGTAGGGGTATTAAAAATAACATAATATTTATATAAAATGTTTATAAAAATGTATACATGTTATAGAAGAAAGCAACTACATTAATTTATTGAAAAGATTTAATATGACAAACAATATAATTAATTTATATAAATAATAAATGAACAAAATAGGGTATTTCATTTACAATATAAACACTTTGATTAATATGTTTTGAATACTTACCTGATGAAGTTTTGGGCTCTGGGTGGGGATAGCTCATTATTTTATCTTCCTGCTGCAACTACCTCCTTTTCTTTAGTATAATGTTTATCCTGTTTTCTTTATTTTTTAAAATGTATTTTATTTGTCTCTCATCCTTATATGTATACCACATGGGTTTCAGCGGCTGCTACTACTGAATTACAGAAATACAGATTTTGTTAATATGGATAAAATATTAGTTTAACATCTTTCTTCTATAGTGCAATCCCTATAACACTGCCTCCTAAATGTTTTCTAGATCTTACACCTTCCCTAGTACTAATGTCTAAATTCATTGGGCCTGTAACTGTTGAGTATTGTTTATTTTAAGAAGTTATGTTCATGTCTTCTTCTTCTTTGTCTTCCTCACAATGCTATTTCTAGCGTCGAGGAGCCTCTATCCAACCCAGCCACTCTTCCCGATCTCTGCTTAACCGCTTCATTTGGTTGAAGGATTTGCCTCTTCTACCTCCAATCCTCTGGGACGCCCTCGTGGCCTCTTCCCTGTGGGTCGAGTCTCTAATATCTTTATAGGATCCATGTCCTCGTTCATGCGGCAGACATGTCCAAACCACCTTAATTGCCTATTCTCCAAGGTGGTTTTGAGTATAGGCACTTCCAGCTATTCTCTGATAGTTTCATTTCTAATGCGATCCCTCCTAGTTTTGCCCACAGATCTACGTAGGAATTACATTTCCGCTGCTGTTATGCGGCTTAGTCCTACTTTCTCCGCCGTAGGTGAGAATAGGAAGGTATACAGACTTACAGACGTGCATCTTGGTATTTTTATCCACTTCACGGCAGCTGAGGATACTGCTAGCGATCTGGAGATATACTTGATTCGCCTTAGATATTCTATACGAAATCTCAGCATCTATCTTACCAGCGTTAGTAATTATAGTACCTAAGTATGTGTACTTCTTTACTAACTCAAAAATCTCTCCGTTGCAAACCAATTGACGTCTTCCTCTTCTTCTCTCGCCATAATCTTACCGCCTTACCACTCCAGTGGCTCCCTGGTAGGTTGATTTGACAATCAACTCTCCCTCAATCAAATCTCCAGGCACGCCCTTGGCAACCAAAGCGTTCCAAATTTCTTTCCTAGGAACTGAGTCAAACGCTGCGATTAGATCAAGAAATGCCAGGTACAGGTTTTTGTTTCTGTTCTCTTTCTAAAATAGTGAGAAGGTTCAAGAGACTTGAGCAATAACTGATTTCTTTTAACCACTATTAAAAGAGAATAATATTGCAGAGCTCTTTAAGAAAATAGCTCATTTACATCTTTTCCTGTAGATTGAGATTACAGTTTTATTCCAGGTCAATGATGGCTCCTCTTGCATACAGATATCAGATTCTTAATGGGATTTGATGAGCCCTCTCCATCTGCCATATTTTTGAATAACTGTTGAAAATTTATCTGTTATGATTTTATACTTTATTATGGCATCGCCATTTATTCTTTATCTGGTTCTATTTCGATGCCTCATCTACTACCTCTGCCCCTTTATTGTTTAGAAGGCTAGAGACATTTTTTCCTACATGTCAATACTTACTTCCATTTAGTTGTTAAGAAGTTTCCTGTTGTTTTAAGGAGAACAGTCCTCTACTTCAATTTTATTTCTGGTATATTTCCCAAAATCCTTTTTCTCATGTCGACCCTTTCATTTTGTGTATAATTCTTTGTTGAAACTGTTTCTTCTCTCTTCCCATTAAATACTATTCTTATTATCAGATCTTAAATTATGAACGTGCTTTTGCAGTAATCCACTTCTCTCTGTAATTGGTCTTTAGTCATAGCACTTTGGCTTGGCTTATAAACAACTATCACTGAATGAAATTCTTTTTTAGGATATCCAAAAAGGAAAGCTCACACTCCCTCATTCAGTAACCAAATAAAAATTTATAAAAACTAATTCCTTCCTCCTTTCTGCTTACTTTCCATTTTCCTATGATTGTTTTGGCTACCTGGTAATATATCCCATTGGCCTTTATCACCCGATTCAGTACCTCCTGGTCTATTTTACCATCTTCATTGATGATTGTTCCCAGATACGTGTATGCATTTGTTACCTCTAGGAGTTCACCATTACTTAACATCATAGGCTCACATTATCTTTAACAACACACATAACTTTGCTCTTAGACGGGTTTATATGCAGCCCTCGTAGCTTCAATTCTTCTTCCCACTCGACTAATGATGCCTGTAGAGCCTCTTCTGAGTCCACTATAAGAATTATATCATCGGCATATAACATAGCTTGAGCCAGGCACTGGTGTCAAATTCCAATATCCCACAACAGCCCTTGGGGTTCCTTCTTTTACACTGTCCAAATTTCATCTATAAGAAGGATAAAAAGCAGAGGACTAAGACTATCCTCTTGCTTTACTCCTTTATAAATATGGAAAGGTACTGATGTGTGTCCATTGAGCCTTATACACCCTTTGGGTCTTGGTATATTGATATAATAGCACTCACCAAGTTTGCAGGTACTCTTATTCTAATTAGTGAATCCCATATCTCTTGTCTCAGAACTGAGTCGAATGCGGCCCTAAGATCCAGAAATGCTAAATAAACCGATTTTCCACGGTACCATGCTTTTTCCACAATCATCCGTAGTGAGAATATGTGGTCTTGGGTCTGTCTGCCGGCTTTGAAAGTGGCTTGCTCTGCTCCTCCTTTAGATCTTGCTCTACTATATGCCTTAGTCGCTGTTCAAGAATTCTTCTTTTTATCTTGTATACAATTGACGAGAGGCATATTGGCCCATAGTTCCCGCATTCGCTTCGGCTGCCTTTCTTTTTTATAGGGATTATGATATTGTTCTGCCATTCTCGTGGTATCAGCTTGAGGTCCCAAATCTTTTGGAAAAGAGTTTGAAGGATCTTGATCATTTCGCTACTTCCACATGTAATTAATTCTGGAACTATTTCATCTGCACCTGGTGCTTTTCCCATTTTGATTCTGGCTACTGCCATTTCCACCTCATCCTCGCCTATTGCGTCATCCAAGTCTTCCGGGTAAACCTCTTCCACCCTCACTCTCCTTCTGCAGTCTCTGTGATTATGGTGTTGGTGTTCTTCCATACTAAATTTTTCCTGGAAGAACTGTCTCCAAACTTCTAATACCTCTTTTTCTTCAGTCACCAACTAGCCACTTGAATCTTTTATATTTCTGACCGGTTTTGACTTTTTGGCTCTTAAGAGTTTTTGTAATATGCCAGAATCTCCTTATATTCTCTTTATAATTCTGATCTAGCTCCTGACCGAACTGCTCCCAGGTCCTCGTTTTGGCTGATCTAATTATTCTTTTGGCCTCATTTCTGTACTAAACATATTTTTCCCAGTGGATAGGTAGTTTCGTTCTACAGTGTTTTCCAAGCATCCTTCTTGAGCTTTACTGCTCTTTTCACCTCATCGTTCCACCATTTTGTTGTCTTGGTAGACGGCAACATTTTCTTAATACCACATACTTTACTAGCTGTATCGATGATGCAATTCTTAATTGCATAATTTTTCCAAAGAGTATCCAATTCACTATCTCCATTTATTAACTGAAGGCGGCTCTCCAGCATTGTTCTGTCTGTACTCTTCTTGTTTAGTTTCCATTTTCAACATTTTAACATCAATTCTATTAAATACTTTGCTAGTCCTTTTCCTTGGCTTGATAGCTTTAGTATCAGCGACTAGTAGCTTGTGGTCTGTATTAAATTCTGTGCCCCTTATGACTTTAAGATCTGTGATGTATCTCCTGAGGTCTCGTTCCATGATGAAATAGTCGATGACACTTCTCATACCCTGTGCTCCTCTATTCTCGAAAGTGATCTTATGTATTGTTTTATGATTAAACCACGAGTTTCCTATAAGCAAATTATTTTCTATACAGAATTTTGTGAGTCGTTGACTATTAGAATTTTGTACGTTTTCATCGCCCCAGGGTCCTATCGCTTCATGCCTATTTTCTTTATCATTTCCTGTTCTAGCATTCAAATCTCAGCAGATCAGTATCATCCTATTTTTGGTTCTTGCATTATCTACTGTCCTTTGCAAATCTTCATAGAACTGGTCCTTGTTAAAGACTACTGCATCCTCACCTGGAGCATACACTTGTATCACTGTGACTTTGCCGACTAATAATTCTATGTCAATTGTGATTATTCTTGGTGAGACTGCTTCCCATGACTCGATCCTCTTATATAATTCGTCTCCCATCACAAAAGCAACTCCTTCCTTTGCTCTTTATCTCTCACTGACACCGGAGTATATCAGATTGTATCCATCGGGCAATGTTAGGTGTCCATTTCCTCTTTTCCTAACTTCACACGATCCTATTAAGTCGACTCTAAATGACTTAATTTCTTCAACCAGCTCTTTTCCCTTTCCAGTGAGTGATCTTACATTCCAAGTAGCCAATCGTAGTTCCTTATCCTTGTCTTGTCTATACCCGTAAGACTGTCCGAATCCGAGGCTGCATTTATTCTCATGAATCGTTTTATACTCCATACGGGTGATTAGATAGATAGAAAAAAAAACCTTTATTCTGCGACTAAGTCCCTTTAGAATAAC